CCACTGCCCGCCCCCTTTGCGCCAGCTGGAATTTGGGTTGCCCGCGCTTCAGTTGTTCCTGCTCGAGCTTCGTGGAAATTGGCGTCGGCACGTAGCCAGCGGCACTTCCGAAAAATCAAGTTATGAAATTCTCTGAGCGGCTTCTGTGCTGCTTTTCTCAGTTCTTTTCTGCGGCGGCTTCTTCTTCTTCTTCTTCTTCTCTGTGACTTGCCCTGACCATGCCCTGACTGAGCCGAGCTCCATTGACTATGGCCAGCAGTTGGCTCAGTCTTTCTTTATTTTGCTTGTCAACTTGATATATTTTTATTAACTTTTATTGTTTGGCTCGCTGATTGGAGTCGCCTAAGCATTTGCATTAATAACTTTATTTTTATCACTTTTGCATTAATTAAGAACAAAGAGCACAGCAACAAATTCACTTGTTTTTTTTTTTTCGTTCAAGGCTCATCATTTCCCTTTTTTTATTATATTCATTTATGGGAACAACATTTCTATAATTTATAATATTTATTTATGCCCCTCCATTGTTGGGTTTTTTGTCTTCAAATTTAATTTGATTTGATTTTGATTTTTGTTGAATTTTTTTCGGGAGTTTGAAGGCCTTAGTTGGCAGATCTGTAAAATCCATTTCGATTTCATTTTAGTTCATTGGACTAGTTTGACCTTACCTTACCTTACCTTATTCTTAGCTAACCTATTATCTTAAATTGGCTAATTGCCTTCTAAATTCATATCTTTCTCTCTGCCTTTCTCGCTCTGCCTGTCTCTCGATTTCGTACTCTCTCAATCTCTCTCTATCTTCTTCTTTCTCCCTTCCACTTCTATCTCCTCCTTAATCTCCACCTTCTCTCTCTCGAGCGGCCTCTCTCTCTATATATCTTTCACTTCATTACACTCTCTCTATCTCTCTCTCTATCTCCCTATTCTCTATCTCCTTTCCTCTTCTATCTGCACCTTAGAGTCTATTCTGTCTCTCTCTCTCTCTCTCGCTCATTCTCTCTGTCTTTTTCTCTCTCTACATTTCTTCACTTATCTCATATTATGTATTTCATTCCTTAGCTCTCTCTTTCTCTTTCTCTCTCCAAGTACTTCCCGGAGTCCCTCCCTTTCTGTTATTATCTCTTTCTCTATCTCTCTCTCTATTTATTTCTATCTCTCTCCTTTTTCTTCTTCATATCTCTATCTTTCTCTTTTTCTTTATCTCTTTATCTTTCTCTCTCTCCACCTCTCCTTACACTTCTCTGTTTAAGTCTCTCTCTCTCTCTGGCTCTTTCTCGCTCTCTCTCTCTATCTCTCTATCTCTCGCTCTCTCTCTCTCTCTCTCTCTCTCTCTTTCTCTCTCTCTCTTTCTATCTCTCTCTCTCTCTCTCTCTCTCTCTCTCTCTCTCTATCTCTCTCTCTCTCTCTCTCTCTCTCTCTCTCCCTCTCCCTACCTATCTCTCTCATTTTATATCTCTTTCAATGCTTAAGTTCCTTCTTCATGAAAAGCCTTGAATTTGCTTAGATATTCCCCTCGAGTCTCCCACTCATTTACCTGTCCTCCATTGTCACCCATTTTCCTTATAGACACACCCAGTCGGTCCAACCTGCACCTCTTTAGTCCACTTAGTATTTCAGCTTTTGTGTCCTTTTCGCATTGTGCCCGTTTCCTGTAGACTTTCCACGCTTTTAGCAGACTCCATGTCAACTGTTAGAGTATACGATTTGCGGTCACACACACACACATGGCACACACACGACACACACAACATGTTTTGGCCGGAGTTCTCAAGTCATTTGGTCGCTTGTTTTTCGCTTTATATCAAGTTCAGGTTGTTCGGCTGTCGAAACTGTAACGGCGAGGCGAACTCTGAGCACCGCTAAGGGGGCATGGAAAAGGTCGTTGCGGGTAGCAGTTGGCTTAGAAACACAATTAAAAGGCAGTTTAAGCGCTTTTCATCCCCCCCCCCCCCCTCCCTCTCTCTCTCTCTCTATCTCTGCTTCTTCCTCTACTGCTGCCATCTAATAACAACAGCTACGTGATTTACACGAAACTGACCCTAAAAACGGGCGGCCCAACGCTTTGTATATATATATATATATATGGATAATAAGCCCAGCTAGATATAAAACATATCGCATTACGAAAATGTTTTTCTTTCTGCAAAATGTTCTGTAGAACATAAAAAAAGAAGTGTTGCCTTGTTCATATATATATATATATATATTTGTATTTGTCTTGTCCGCGTTGCGGCCTTAACCCCACATTAAGCTGGAGAACATGTCGCAGAGTTTTGGAATTCGGGTGAAATCGGGCGCTCCGGCGTTTAGCTGGGGCCGCCAAATGCACACGATCATAGATACAAATGTATCTCGCAATCGAGACAGCAAAGCTATGCCAAAACGGCAACAGCAGCGGCAGCAACGGCAGCAGCAGCAGCAGCGGCAGCTGCTCGATGAAGAAATTGCGACATTTTGTTCTCATTTTTGTGGTTTTTTCCTTTGTCTTTTATTTTAATGGTTCGTTTCTTGAAAAATTATTATGATAAAGTTCTTTTTATTGTCAGCTTGAGCTTGTTGCAAATGTAGTTTGTTTACGTATATATGGGTAGCTACATATGCATATATGTATGTGTGTATATATGTCTCATATTTAGCATGTCTCTCTAAGACCATTCCTTGATCTTTAGATTTCGTCTGAATTTGCTTTTGTTTATATAAAAAACTTATTCAATTTGCCTAAATATTGAGCATTTATATATTTTATATATTTCATAAGTATTTAGTATGTTTTACATTTCGAGACACTCTAAGATATTTCTCTAGGAATTCTCAATGCTTCTCAATTTCTGTAGCAGAAACTGTTTCTAAGTGGGCTTTACTTTGCAGCCTTAGATAATGTTTTAGATATTTTGACAGGACTTTTTAAGCTTAAGCAATATGTTATGCTTATAGAAAAGGATATATATATATATATATATTTTTTTTTTTTACTTATTTATATTTGAAATTATATTTTAAACTAATTAAATCGTATATAGTAAGACTTAAAAAATTTTAGAAAATTATAAAAAAGTTGTCGAGTTTTATTTTGGCATTTTATAAAATAAAGCAAAAATTTGAAATGAAAATTTGTAAAAATTATTATATATATATATATATATGATATATATATATATATATGATTTTTAGCTATTTTTCCCAGCTTAAAACAAGCTGATATAACTAAGTTTGAGTTCATTTGCAAAATTTCGAGCTCAAAGGCAAAGCAAGAGCCACAGCGCTCTATGATCAAGCACAGCCGACTGTCAATACTCGTTCAGACAAATATTCTAAATTTTTAATATTCCTACACAGTTTATATTGCTTCTGTATCTTATATATGGCTGTAGAGCAGCTTCCAGAGTGTTGGTGTTGAGTGTCTATGCAAGGACAGCGAGTTATGTTAGCCTGGCCAAAGACCTTAGCGGTTAGTGTTAACTATATATACCTATATATGCCTATACATAACTGTACTCATCATATTTATATATTAGCGAATTATCAGTTTTGCTATATATATATCACATGTTCTTAAATATATAGTAATTCCCTAATATTCATATCTTATTGAAAATATTCAACACTTTATCAGACAAGATTATAGTCATATATTATGATAAGTTGTATATATATAGCTGATGCCTAGACCCTCTCTTGAGTCACAGCTCAAAGCCAATCTACTCTCTTGACTGCTCGAACGAGCATTATTTGTTTTTGCCTTACGAAAAGTGACAAACAAATGAAATCTGTAATTCCAGCCAATTTTTACTTAGTCAAATGTAAACAGATTTAGGAACAAGTTTTTGAATCATATTGAAGCTGTTTTAATGAGTATTATTTATATATATATATATATATGTATACATATATACATATATAAACTCTATGCAGTCATAAAGTCCATTTGATATTTCGACTCATTTCAATTGAAATTGAGTTAATTTAGAGCTTTTACGATTTAGGCTGAATAAAATTCTAAAAACATGTTGTATTTTTTTAACCAATTGACGTCATAATAAAAATTAAAAAAAAAAAGAGGCAAATAATAAGCTGTCAATTGGAACAAGTTCTTTGCTGTTATTTTGTGAGTCGAAATTCCCGAAAGATTTTTGGCTTAAGAAGTGACTCAAAATTCTTGACCAACTTTGGTAAAGCTCGACAGCTGTGACCTTGACAAAAATAATACTAAAAAGCAGAATGAAGAAGAAGCAGCAGCAGCAATAAATATGATTCAATTTTGTTTGTCATCGACTCAGCAGAGAGAGGGAGAGGCAGGGAGAGAGCGAGGGTTTAGGCCTTTTACCCCGATAAAAAAGCTTTTGATTATTTTCATTGAATGCAATTTGTTTTTATTGTGCAGTTATATATATATATATTGTCGACTGGTTTTTTTTTGTTTTTTATTTTTATTTATTTTTTTTCTTTTGCTGGACGCGCTGCAGCTGGAATCTGGTTTGGTTTTCAGTTGTCGTTGCTCCTATTCGGCTCAGTGTGTGTGCGTGTGTGCGAGTGTGTGTGTGTGTGTATTTGAGTCGATTGGCCAGTTGGTAACAGGTCGCAGCTTCAGCTGCAGCTACAGGTGTATGTAGCTGTTGGCTGCTGCCTGCTGGCTGGCAAATTAGGCGCAGCCAACGGATTAGCAATTGAAAATTTGCAATTTCTGCATATTTTGCGCACTTTTGATTGTCAGTTTTCTGATTGGGATTTGCCAATTGGCTGGAGTACCGTTAGGCGGTGTCACTGCCTGTGTGTGTGGGTGGGCATAAGTAATTAAGTAATTAGGCATAATTGTTGATAATTCCTAGTAATTATAAGTAATTAAGTAATTAAGTAATTTAATTTAGGCTATTTAAATGTAAATTTGTTACTCATGCCATGCTCTCTCTCTCTCTCCCCATCTCTCGCTCTCTTTCTTTAACTCTATGTGTTGCTATCTCTGTTGCTCTGGCATTTCCTTCGTCTTATGATCTTTTTTGCAGCAATGCGAGCAGCGCCGGCAAACTGAATGGCCAGACCACACCTATCGATGTCTCTGGCCTATCGCAAAATGAAATTCAAGGCTTTCTGCTTGGTTCACACCCCTCATCGTCGTCCGCCACAACCGGCGTTGTCTCCACAACAACAATCTCGCATCAACAGCAACAGCAACAACAGCAGCAACAGCAACAGCAGCAACAGCAGCAACAACAACAACAGCAGCAGCATCAACAGCAGCCGCCACATCCCAGCGACATTGTGACCATAACAACGGCAGGAGTGGGGAGCGCGGGCTCGATCGTCTCCGCTGCAGTGCAGCAGCAGCAACAGCAACAGCAGCAGCAACAGCAGCAGCAGCAGCTGCTGAGCATCAAACGTGAGCCCGAAGACTTGAGCAAGGATCCCACCAAGAATGGCAGCCTGGGCGCCTCGGCGAATGGTTCAGTCATAACGCAGAAGGTAGGAAAGTTAACATACAAAACACAAACAAAAACAAAAACAAAAACAAAAACAATTCAAGAAAATCGTAATCAAAAGCTTTACGTATTTAACGCTTTAATGGACACGCACGCAAAACGAGAAAAGAAATGAATACGAAGAAGAGTGAGGCAAACTGTAACAGCAAAATCCAATTAGAAATTAGTAACATATTCGAGGCGCAGCAGCAGCTGCTGCGCCAGCGCAGGCGTCGCTCACATCCTGGGCTCAAGCTCACGCTCGCACTCGCTCTACTTTGTCTCAATTAACATGCGAGTGCGCTATGTGGTTGTTGTTGTTTGCTTTTGTCGCTGCTCTAAGACCTGCAATTGGTCTGTCGCCTGTGTGTGTGTGTGTGAGCAATGAGTATTTGTGGCTGCAGCCAATACGAATCAACGTCGTTTGCGCTTGCTGTAGTTGTTGTTGTTTTTGCGGCTGTCGTTCGTCGTTCGTCGTGGTTCTATTGACGCAAAAGCAATGAGACGACAATAACAACAACAAGCAGGCAGGCAGGCAGGCTAGCAACAACAACAACAGCAGCAGCCGTCGCTCAGTTTGCATTCGCGTAACTGTTATACACCCAACTTGTTATACACGATCAATGCTGCTCGTTTCGTTTGTGCTTGCGTATGCGTGTATGTGTGTGTATGCGTGTGCTTGTGTGATTTGTATATTGCGCTCGCTCGCACGCACGTTAGCTGCGCATAAATCTGGCTTGCTTGCGCTTAGCGTGCAGCCAGTTAGCCGGTTCGAGTTGCATGTTGCATGTTCGATGCCCGCTGTGCTGTGCGCGTTTTTTTGTCTTTTATCAATTGCATGCAGAAGCAACAACAACAATAACTACGAAATATAAGGTAGCTAATGAAAAACCTCTGGCATAATTAAAGCGCAACAAGTGCTGGGAAATTGCGCGACTTGCACAGGCAGCAATACAAGAGGCTAAGCCAAAGGCGACAAAAGTTAAGTGCGCACTTCCGGCCCACTGTTCGCCGTTCTTCCTTCATACGATCGACCGCGCGAATCTATGAAAACTATTTTTTAATGCTGCGCTGCGCTGAGCTGCTCTGCGCTGCTTGTAACGCCCTGTCCGGCCGCTGCGCATGTCAGAATACGCGACAGCCAGGCAGAGATTCCAACCATTTTGAACTGATAGGCGCGCCTGTGTGTGTGTGTATGTGTGCGTGTGTGTGTGATCGCTGTGTATGACTCTATCTGTGTGTGTTCGCTGGTCCAACTGGCCGACGCAACGCTGCTGATGTCTGTCTTCGCTTGCCGCTGTATGTGTGCGTGTTGGTTGGTTCGTTCAGGTAGCGCCGTCGCAGCCGCCGTCGCCGTCGCCGTTGCCTCTGTCGCCGACGTTGTCATACGTGGAATCGGTCAGTCAGTCGTATCACGCTGTCGGAGTAGGATCGTTTCTGCGATTCGTCTGATATTTGAGCGCCGCGAATGCTTCTCCTGCGCGTAAAATCTTGTAATGCGAGCGCAGCAGCTACAACAACAATTACAACAGCAACTGCAACAACGTGTTAAAGTGTCTTATTGTTCAGATTCAGTGATCAGTGTCAATAAACCCAATCATCTCACTCCCCCCTTTAACTAAGCGAATGTAAGTGTCCGCGTGTGTATGTGTGTGTGTGTGCGTGTGTGTGTTTGTGTGTCTGGCCGAATTTGATATGCCTTTTGCTATTTTGCATATTGTGTTATGATATATGATATATATGTATATATATAGTATATATAGTGCCGCTTGATTGGAATGTGGGCGCCCAGTTGCCCAGTTAGCTAATGCAACAAGCAACAACAACAAAAACAACAACTAAAAACACCTGCAATCAAAATGCAAACGCGCGCGCTCAAAATCGAATCGAAACAAAAGCAACAACGACAACAACAAAATAACAAATGCAACACAAATTGAGCGAACACGCGCAGAAGACAAACAAACAGCAACAGCGAACAACCAACAACAACAATAACAAGCTGCGTGTGGGCGTGCAGCAGCAGCAGCAGCTGAGCTGAGCCGCAAACGCGTTGCCTTTCAACACCCACGCGCGGCGAACAAGTTTGTGCTCTAAGTCTTTTGTTTGGCGCGCGAGAACTGAAGCAACAACAACAGCAGACACTTTGTTGTTGCTTTTTAACGCTTTTGCAGATGAGAGTGGGCTTATAGTGTGTGCGTGTGTGTGTGTGAAATATTGAAAAGAAAAAATTCATTGAGCAAAATAATTTCTTGGCTCAATTTAATTGCCTTGTTTTCTGGTTGCTGTTGTTGCTGTTGTTCTGCTTGTTATTGGCATTTAGCTATTACAATATGCAATTTGCATTGCACTCTAATTTATTGTACATTAATAAAAAATTATTTTTTATATTCGCTAATTATTCGCAATATTTGTCTTGGCCAACGCCATTTGCATAACACGCGTCGCCTAGTTGCTGGAGTCGATAGATTTTTTCTCATTCTTTTTTACTTTTTTTGCGTATAACAAATCGCTTAACTAATTTATGCCACAGAATTTAAATTGAGCAAAACAACAATAGCAACAACAAAATGACATAATGAAACGCAAGAGCGCGCGAGAGAGAGAAAAGGCAACAAAATGTATATATGATAAATGAAAAATTGATATTGCAATTTATTGCAATGCTTGAAACTTTAGACCGGAAAATGTAATCATTAGCCAACACACGACAACAACAACTACAACAACAACAACAACAACAAATAGTTAATAATGAATATAAAAATGGTGTCAATAAACCGCCTGCTGTTCAACTAATTGTAAAAACTGCTCAGAACGTGCGAATGTTTGCTAAAAAAACCTATCGATATATGATGTATATATCGATAATTGTTGTGGCAACAATTAAGTGACTGTCTTAAAGCAAAGTTCAATTTAAACTAAAAATAAACTTTTAGAGACTTTACGGTAAAGTGACTAAGTGTTATCGATAAGTCCATAAGCTATCGATGAACTGTGCTTACATCAAAAACTGTTGAAATTTAGTGACTGTATTCAAAAAAGTTATACTTAAATCAAATTTACTAAAATGAAGTCCTGAAAGTGTTATCGATAACATAAAAAGCTGTCGATATGATTTAAATATATCGATAATTGTTGCTGGATTTATATGACCATACTTTATTTTAAATAACATTTACAAAAAACGATATGCGACTTTAGAATAAGGCAAAAGATGTTATCGATAATAATATATTATAGCGTTTCTTATCTTTCAAACTGTTTAAAACTTGGCTTAATTTTAGATAAAAGATATCTTAAGTCTTAAAAACAAAGTTTTATGTTCTAATAAATGACAGAGAATCGGTTATATATACGGAATTTATTGTTATCGAAAACTGCATTTAAAGCAGTATAGGCATTCCTTATAGTTGATTTTTAGCTAAAGCATCAACGATAAAAGGCTCACTGTAAATATTAAGCTTTGCTTATATTTACCCAAAAATAAGTCAATCGATAAATTATCAATTGCACATCAATTATAGATGCTGAACTTAGCTGAAAAGTTGAAAAAGTTCTCATTAGAGCTTTCAAAGTAAAGATAAATACATTTATCGATAAATCGATTTCAATTCAACTAACTTAATTTACATAAATCGTTGTTTTTGCTTAATCAAATCATTTCATTAGATAGCTAATTTTAGTCAAGCCTAAACATGACAAAAAAAACCCCAAAAACGATCATTCACCAAATTCCCCAAAAAGGAAAACAAAACAAAACTATTAACAAAACTATATATAATAATATTAATAAGAATAATAATAATGATAATGACAATAATGCTGTATGTATTATTGTTTTGCCTTGGTTTATTTCCGAGAATTAACGATATGCATAAAACGGCTGGCTGAATAGAATCTTGACAAAACGAATGAGAAGCCGACGAAGCTGAAGCTGAAGCTGAAGCTGAAACTGAAGATGAAAAAGAAGAAGACGAAAAAAGTTTCACTTTTTATCAAAGCAAAAGGCATTAAAATAGTTAATTGGCTTTATTTAAATTTAGTTTTTTTTACTTCATTTTGTTTTTTTTATTTCTTCCTCATACATAAATATGTGCCAGAAGACGCGCTTAGCATAATTCTAGCTAGCCAATAGCTCAGTTTAGTATGGGCATATACTATATAGTGTGTGTGTGTGTGGCATATGCAAAGCGCGCTGTTTTATAATAGCACAAGCTAACGAACGATTCCTAAAGCTTCGATAATATTTTGTGACACGCACAAAAAAATCCAAAAACCAAAAATTTCTGTCGATTCGTTTGGCTCAGCTTTACCAAGGCCTTTTCTGACGTTGCACGTTGACTGTGTGTGCATGTGTGTGTGCGTGTGTTTTTTTTCTTATTTTTCGAAAATGCAAATTGATTTTTATGAACAAATTTAATTAGCTCGCAGCTAGAATCTCAGTAGAGTTAACCCCCGCTCCAGCCAGAGACTCTGAAGAAGACAAGACAAACAGACAGACAGACAACAAAGACAAGCTACATTAGTATAAATTTTAAATGTAAGTTTTACAAAACAAAAAACACGCACAACCAATCAATGCACACATACACTCTAACACACACACGCACACACAATTTAGCTGTTAGCTTACAGAATTTAGCGGGAAAACTGAAAAGGCGGATTTAAAAATATATATAAATTTTGTTAATTTTAATGAGGAAAATTTAAAAAAATTTTTAAAAAATAAAAAAAATGTATATAAAATAAAACAAAATGCTAAAAATTAAATTTACTTATATTTAGACGGAACTTGAGCTTTTGTAGCTAGGCTGCATTGACTTTTGCTTTGATTAAATCTCTTGGTTCAAATTTTGTTAATTAAAATGTAATAAAAAGTTTAAAATATTTAAAAATGTTTATAAAATTTACAAAAATTGCTGAAAATTAAATTGACTTAAATTTAGTTAGTTTATGAGCTTTTATGGCTAGGCTGCATTGGCTTTTGCTTCGATGACGTCTCTTGATTTCACTTTCTTCTGACTGCGTGAAACACTCATCAGCTAAAATGTTAATTTAGATGCTAAGACAGGGCGTGGCAGCTGCCAACCAGCCAGCTAGCCAACTAGCCAGCCATTGAATGTCTCTTATGTATCTTATATATCTGGCTATCTGTATCTGTAGCTGTTTCTTGGTGTATTACCTCATTTAGCGCGCGCGCGTCAACGCAGAGTCGCGCAGAGTCGAAAAACGTTTGACATTTTGGTGCGATCAATAAAATAAAAATAAATAAAAAGCAATGCTAATTAACATATATGCATACACACACACGCACATATATAAATATATATAGAGAGATATATATTTCATTATATACCAAAAGATATATACTTTGAGTCTGTCTGGCTGCTGCTTTTTTTCTCGCATTTTAATTGGTTTCTTTCCACTCGACAACCGTCGACTGTTTCGATTTTTTATAGCATTTAATTTCGTTGTTGTTTTTTTCTTATATTTTATTTTGTTTTTATAAACTGTACTTTTCGTATTTATGAATCAGCTTGTGCTATAGGGTAAAGTGCCTAAAAAGAACTTGGCTTTCAGCGAAGCTCGCGCTCTTTTTTTTCTTACCTTTTGTCACCATTGGCTCCGCATTGACCTTCCGCGTTCATAATCAGTCATCAATCAACAATAAACACTGACCACTTGCTGTTGTTGTTGTTGTCTCTGTTGTGCGTGTGTGCGATCAATCAATGTAATTCCTGCAAACAAATCATTTAGCTGAACCAATTCGATACCCTTGAGTATTTATGAATATTATTCGTGCCGGCTCGTAGAATTCATATTGCTTGGGTTCTGTGATCCATGCCAGTTCAGTTGCGTTAGGCCTGAGTGTGAGTTCAGAGTCTAAAAGCTTTCATTGATCTGTGTGCGATCAGTCCTAAAAGGCTTTAATAGCTTCCATGTGCGTTCAATTAAAGTTCATTAGAGCATGATCTACAATGAAGGTCTGCCAAGTCTATATATATAACATATATCTTTTGTTTTATCCTATTTGTTCCGAAGGTCGGCGATCTAAGCAAGATCAGTTTAAATTGTTAAGATTAACTCTTGACAAAGCTATAACAAATTGAAGACTTCATTTCAATGCTCTCAATGATTAAGCCTTTAAAGAGTTTTTAGTAATATTGAAAATTATTTGTGATACTTTTTTAATAAAACTTGAATCTATAAAAGTCACAAGAAAACTTATCAAAGAGTGCTTAAATTTATTGAAAATCCTATGATATATGGTTTTTATAAGCATTAAAATATCTTTGATCTATAGGGGAATAATTATTAAAGCATTGCCAATGAAATTAATTCTTAAGTTTGTCAAGATTCTATTCTACGTTTAAACGCTACTCAAAACCAAATCAATCTAAACTAACACAATATAAAAGTCAAAATTCTGGAGTTAAGTGTGAATGTAGTTTATAGAGAAAATGTAGCTTTTAAGTAGCCAAGTTGCAAACAGCTGAAAGAAAAACGAAACACGAAAAAAACCAACACAAATCCAAACGAAAATTCACAGATATTGCGCGTGGATGCAGCTAGAAGTGAAGAAACTGAGGCAACTGCAACTGCAACTGCAACTGCATTCGATATAGCCAATAAAACGGCAACTGCAACAGCAACAGCAACAGCAACAACAACTGCAACTGCAACTGCAACTAGTCCCGCCAGAGCGACAACAGATCTAGAGATGTATGCTACCACGGGCGGCACACAGATTTATCTACAGGTGAGTGAGCCAAACGGAGCAAGTGTATAAGAGAGTGAAAGAGAAAGAGATTGAGAGAGAGATTGACCTGAACTCCTGCAGACCTCACATCAGAACAGCAATGGAACCAGCACACAGCAGAGCACATTGCAAGCCCAAAGTCCCAGTCCGGGTCCATATATCACAACGGATAGCTATGGCATGTACACGACGACACGACTGCCACCTGGACCGCCACCCGCCACCACATTCATAACGGAGCCCTATTATCGTGAATATTTCGCACCCGATGGCCAAGGCGGCTACGTGCCAGCGGGCACCGCGCGCAGTCTCTACGGCGAAGATGTTTCCGTCACGGCGGCCGCACAGCCACAGCCGGTGGGCGGTGTCTATGAGGCGCGCTTCAGCAGCAATGCGCCCACCACCACCACAGTGCTAACCAGCAGCAATGCACACCACCACAGTCAACAACAGCAGCAGCAGCAACAGCAACAACAACAGCAACAGCAGCAGCAGCAACAACAGCAGCAGCAGCAACAGGAGCAGTCGGGCAAGAACGGCGGGACGCCGCTCTATGCCAAGGCTATAACGGCGGCGGGTCTCACTGTGGACCTGCCCAGTCCCGATTCGGGCATTGGCACGGATGCCATAACGCCGCGGGATCAAAATCACATACAGCAGGTATACACACAAACACAAAGAAAACTACAGACTTAAAGTAACGAGTAGCGAGTCAAGAGCGGCGAGTAGCGAGTAGCGAGTAGCGAGTGTCGTCATACCTTTTGTAGTGCAAAGATTTAGTCACAGCTAACACAAATTTCAATTAGCAACGAGTAATCAGTAGCGAGTAACGAGTAACGAGTAACAAGTAACGAGTAGCTACAACTGCGTGACGTGTCCATTATTTAATTAATAAACTATATTCTATATCTTATAAACTTTTATCATAAGCAACGCAACTAATCAACGATCCATTCGCAAATTCTCTTTAACAGTCCTTCGACTATACGGAACTGTGTCAGCCGGGCACCCTAATCGATGCCAATGGCAGCATACCCGTTTCAGTGAATAGCATACAACAGCGCACCGTGGTCCATGGCAGCCAGAATAGTCCAACCACATCGCTGGTGGATACGAGCACAAATGGATCGACACGCTCGAGGCCCTGGCACGATTTCGGACGCCAAAATGATGCTGATAAAATACAAATACCAAAAATGTAAGCAGCAAATAAAAAATACCCTGTAAAAGTGATTTGAGCTTAGATATATATATATATCTATTTTATATATATCTATTTTATATATATATATCTATTTTATATATATATATATTTTTTATGTCTTTTTCTGCCTTTTCTTAGCTTCACAAATGTGGGCTTTCGCTATAATCTGGAGAGCCCGATCAGCTCGTCGCAGCGTCGCGAGGACGATCGCATCACCTACATCAACAAGGGTCAGTTCTATGGCATTACGCTGGAGTATGTGCACGATGCGGATAAGCCAATCAAGAATACAACAGTTAAGGTAAGACTCACGCTCTCTCTCCCTCTCTCTTCCTCTTGTTGCATAGTTGATATTGATTGTGGAGCTAGTGGCTGCTGCGCCGTGCTCTCGGCTGTCAACAGTCATTTGAGGCTTAAGGCTTGAAACCCTTTTCAGTCTATTTGTCAGCTGTGCGCTCTCGAGTAGCTGAATGTCAGTTTGCCTGAGCGCTAATCAAGTTTGGCAGCTATCGCCACCCTTTGCTCAATTGCGCACAGGCGCAGCAAGGACATCGCATATCCTGCTCAAGGCGCTGCGATCTGGTCTGCCTTCTATATATGCATATCCCGATGATAAATGATAAATGATACGCCAAGGCGTCTCTCCTTATGAGAATTTGAATATGCCGCTCAATGCAAATTGCGAGCCTTTCAGCACACACGCACACACACACACATGCCATGTTTATTCAGGACTACACAGGATATTTTTTCTTCTTTGGCTGCTCACAATACACATCAACATCATCAATCAGATAAGCTTAAATGACGTCTTCTGACTCGCTACTGGAAAAATGCAAATTGTAAACTGAACCCGTTGAGTTTTAGACAATCAAAGTTACAGTTGAATGTGAAAAGTGTGTGTTTGGGTCGTCGGAATGTGGAATGTGGAAGTGCCAACGGCTCGGCTAAGTAAACAACAATTGAGATTGAGTTCCTGCTGCTGACTAGGGCTTGAAATTGGAACTGTCTTCTCTTCGCCTTTGGCATTTGCATACGTAAATATCCAGAAAAAAGCTGCGACAAATTGAAGCAACAAAACTGAGCGAATAAAAAAGTTCCTCTAAAAGTGTCCAAGGATCTTCAAGTGTTAAGAATAACAGCCACAGCAGTGCAGGAAACTCCCAAATAATGCTGAAAAGAAACCTTTAAATAATTTGAAACTTAAAAAAAAAACACACAATTGTTGACTATGAACCCAAAGATCTTGAGATTAAAGTTAGGTAAAAGGATAACATTTCTTTTATATCTGAAAATTTCTTAACTGATTTTATTTAGATCTTACATAGATGAAAGTGAAGATAAGCCAACGTGTTTTTAGGGATGTCTATGAAAAAATTTATATAAAATTAGAGGGCACAAATAACAAAATAAAGATACCTAAAATTCTTTAAAAAGATTTTAAAGACTTAAAAAATATTAAATAAAAATATAAAATGAAATATAAAATTATATAAATAAATAAATATAAAAAAATATAAAAAATATATAAAAAAATAAATAAATAAATATATAAACATAATAAATAAACTTAAAATATAATATAAAAAAATGTAAAATAAAATATAAAATACAATATAAAAAATATAAAAAAATAAGAAGTGATCAAAAAAAAATGAAAATAGAAAACAAAATATAAATAATATAATTTTAAAAAATAAGATAAAATTTTTAAAAAAAATTAAAATTAACATAAACTAAAAATATGAAACAATTTTTTTATAATTCAGCAAACTAAATAAATTTGCTGAACGATCTAGATCTTAAAGATGTAAATAAGTTTAAAATTTGTTAATGATACTTAAATATTTTTATTAATATTTTATTCAATTCAAGATTGATATTTCATGAGAATTCAGTATGCACTAGCAAATAGTCATAGGAAAGAGAGTAAAGTTAAAGAACAGGAACATGTATTAGGCACTCGCTTATAGATGCTAAGTTTCATCAACGGTAATGAACCAAAAAACCGAATTTCTAATTTAAAAACTCAAAGATCTTGACATACAAAGCCTGACAGAAAAATTTTACTACAACAAGAACAGAAATTAGTTGCAGAAGACTTTTGACTCTATACGTAGCCCATCTGGCGACAGTTTTCATTACCCCTATACCATAGTTTCCCATTGTTTTCTTCGACTACCCAACTAATTGTGTTTTATGAAGTGTCTTGGCTCGTCTCGTATTACCATAAAAGTGCAATAATTTTCGCGCTAGACTTTGGAAAAAAGTGTCAAAATGAATTTACGAGTTTATTTGTTTAACCCTCTCGCCCTTTTCGGGGCTGGCAGCGGCCATCGATATAAGAAAATATCCAACCTTAAGCCGAGGCTGAAGACGAAAAAAGTAACCCAAAGTTGAAAAATTAAAGCGACGCATTTGCATAGTCGTGTCCATTTCCCTATCAATTTCCCAGCGTCTAACGGTGGAAAACTGACAAAAATAAAAGAAAAAAAACGAGTATAATTTACGAGCTGATTAGCCCATGAATATTTACGATATATACTTAGAGCTTGTAACAGAGAGGGAGAAAGAAAAACTTAAAGATTCAAGAAAAAGGCGCACAATATACACAAAAATATTTATGCACAGTAATCAGCGCAGATCATAGCGGGGCAGGGGGTAGGCTGTGAGACAGGATAACGGCGCATAGCCAAGGGGTTGCAATTTTTGACTCGTTTCCTTGGCCTACATCTATCTGTGCGCTTCCTCTTGCGCTGTCAACGTAATTATTCAAAATCTAAAAAAATCTGAAAACATAAATGATGCACACAAAATGCAAATATCTCTGGGAACAAAGTGGTAGACAGAGAGATCGAGCGGGAGAGAGTGACTGGAGAGACAAATGTGTTAGATATTTTTCTGCTAAATCGAGTTCGTCCTTTCATTCTATTTTTTCTTTTCTTTGATGCTTCTCTAATCCTTTTGACTTTGTAGGGTGCGAGCCTACAAAGCTAGACACAGAGAGCCAAAACATGTGTCACAACGCGTATAGATCAAGCGTGATTGAAGATGAACAAAATGAACTACACAGATACCCTGTAAATAGTTGCGAAAGAGTTTGGTAATGCAGTTGACAAAATAAAAAATAAATAGATAGTTGGGTGTTATGTGATCCTGAAGGAAGTCTGTGTGTACTTATATGTGATATGATCATTAGCTTATCATGACCGTATAGATACCCTGTTTATAGTTATGTGTGAATTGAAAAAGTGTAGTGTAATTCTTATAGCAGCTGATCAGCATCCCCTAAGCTAATATATTAATAAGTAACTAAGATGGAAAACTATATATAAAAAAATATATAAAAAAAATAAAAAATTAGATTTATTAAAAAATATTTAATGAAATATTTCTCAAATATATATATATATATATATATAACAAATATATTTTCAATTTTTGAAATGGGATTTCTGCTTACAATACTCTAAAGATATGTAAAAGATCGATAGAAGTTTATATGTATATATAAAATAATTCATTGAGAACTAAGACTCGCCTCTAAAAACAAAGAAAATAACAGAGAATTTTGCAGTCTGGCACAATTTCAGACATAAAGTTTTAAAAACACCTAAATTTAAATTTATATCAAATTCGAAATTTCAAATCTTCAAATTTATAGATCTTTAAATATAATAATATATTTAATATATTAATACAATTAATATTTATTTAATATTAATATATTGTATATTTTATTTATTATATATTATTATAGTACATTATACCACATCTATAATGCTTATATATATTTATTTCAATGCATTTGTATTTTCTCACTTCCTGCAGAGTGTGATCATGTTGATGTTTCGCGAGGAGAAGAGTCCCGAGGACGAGATAAAGGCCTGGCAATTCTGGCATAGTCGCCAGCATTCCGTGAAGCAGCGAATCTTGGATGCAGGTGCGTAGTTTTCGAGCTCCAACAGCGTGCCAAACACACATTGTATAGAATTTCCAGAACGTAAATTCTTCGTTTTTATTGAATGTGGCAAGGGGAGAGCGGAGCGGGTATAGGCCGGGGCAAGGCGGCAGCAACAGTTGGTGCAACCTGAGTTATGACATTGATAAACGCGCATTGCATTCGGGTTTTGTTTGATTGCAGATAATCTTGGCTAGTTCTGGCCGAGAGCTGCCTACGTCTGCCCACCTCTCTCTGCTGCCGCTGCTGCTGTTGCAACCTGTTGCGCGCTTTTGCCCCATCAAACATAACTCATTAGGCACTTGTCACAGACAATTTTTCCTTAATTGTTAATACAAACGATATGTTAGCTGCGCTGCTGACTATTTCTTTATCTTTCCTATATATATACATATATATATATATAAATTTGTTGTTTTTTCTCTGCAGATACAAAGAACTCGGTTGGTCTTGTTGGCTGCATTGAGGAAGTGTCGCACAATGCCATTGCCGTCTACTGGAATCCGCTCGAGAGCTCTGCCAAGGTAAGTTCTTAGAGCCCCCTTTCGACCCAGCGCCCCTGCCTTTAGCTCTATAAAAGTCTCCATTTTGTTTGAGCGCCGAGCGCCGCCTCAATTAAATAAAAAATCACAAAAAAACGAGACGGCAAATGACACACACACACACATATATATATATATATATAGAGAGACCTGTGTGTGTAAGAATTAATTTGTGATTTATTTTCAATTGCAACGAACAACGCAAATTATTCAACGCGCGTCGCACAGTCGCCTCAACACACATACACATATTGCCGGCTCGCTCGCACCCAGCTCAGTGGCCGCCTATAGCCATCTCTCTTTGATTTGCGCACTGTTTTGTTGTTTTTTGAAAAGAATAATTTATGCATTTATTTATTTATGACACTTAGTTTTAATCACCTGCCACGACAATTTTCTCTCCCTCTGTCTGTCTGTCTCTCTCTGTCGCTCCATCTCTTTCACAGCAGCTTTTGGCTTTTAGATTTGCGCTCCCATGCGCGCATTTAATTTAGCAATTATCAGCAATTTTAATCCCCTCGAATATTTGCAATTCTATTGAGCAAATCAAGCGCCAACCGCCGCCAGATTACGTATACGCCCCGTCGCACCACAACCACATTGTGGCTACATGTGGCTGAATGCAGATGCATAATAAACAACAACAACAACAGCAACTGGCAATCATATATAGCTCCACCCATCCAAAAAAAGATAGACAAAATAAGGCAACAGTTGTGCATGTGCAGTGCATGCTAGACTAGCAGATACCCTGTTAACTCTAGCAGCAAGCGTTTAAAAAAAAAAGTATAAAGAATACTAGAAGTTGAAGAAGTAAGAAAATAAGAGAAGTAAAACCATAGAGAAAGTTGAGGGAGTAGGAGAAGTAGGAGAATCTGGAGGAGTTGAAAGATTGGGAAAAGTCAGAAAAATAGGAAGAGTAGCAAAAGTACTAAATGTTGAAGAACTAAGGGAAAAAGAAAAAGTAAGAAGACTACAAAAAATTGAAAAAGTAGGAGATGAAAAAAGTTATAAAAGTAAGAGAAATTTAAGAAATAGGCGAAGTATAAAAACTGGGAGAAATGATAGGAAACAGCACGAATTGAAGGAGGAGTAGAACGAACTGGAAGGACTACGAAGAGCTAAAATTGTAGGCAGATGAGTATAAGAAGAAGCTTAAGGAATAGAAAGAGTAGTAAAATTAGCAAAGTAGAAGCAGTGAAATGAGTTTGAAAAGCATTGGCAATCTATATAAGAGACCCACTGTCTCTGATATCAAAGGCACGTCTGCAGCAAGATATAACTCTTAAGGTGCGCCATGTATATGTTTAGCTATCATTTATCTATCAACATCAGGCCAAATATCAAATAAATCTAACTCAAATTTGCTTTGCTTGAATTACACAGCGCTCAACATAGATACAGTTAAACTGAAGCATACTTAACGAGTATAATATAGACAAGATCTTTTTCTTGGCTGCTCAAGTTTGTGTTTCTGCTGGAGCCTTGGCTATAGACAGATGAAAGATAATACCAGCTCGGCCTAAAATATTTTTGATCAATTTTTTATTTATTTTTTTTTTTTGTGTTGTGCACTGATTTTTCCACTTGTTGTCAAGTTCAGTGACTTGTGTCAAATTGGCAAGCAGTTATTAAATTGGCTAACAGGCTCGCTAGCCGTCTGTCGCTCCGACTCGCTGTCTGGCCAATTGGCTCGGCTTATGTGGCCATAAGTGCATTTTGGTTACATTTCGATATCGCGCTTTTTATTTACAAATTGTTTACGCGCTGAGATGTTAATCCCAAAAAAAAATATATATATAAATATATAGATATGTACGTGGCGACCAGACACTGGAGAGAGAGAGTCGTCGCAGCCAAAGGCCGCATAATGTCGATTTCGTTTTATGCCGTTAGGCAGCAGCCGCCTACCCCCCACGCCTCTGCTGTTGCAGCAGCTTGTATCTGTGTATCTGCAGCTGTATGTTTGCGCGTATCTTTTGCCTTTCCCAGCGGCCGCTCAACAAAAAAAACTTTCGTACGCACCGACACGCAGGTGCTGCAGCTTGCCACAGCCTCCCCCTCTGTGCCACAGCCGTCGCTCGCATCTGCTTGCAACTGCATCTTCAATGCCTGCCAGCCAAGCGTCTGTCTGTGTCTTCGCTTATATGGTACGCGCCCGCTAATTATTCACATTAAATACTGCTCCACGTCGTCCACATCGACAACGTTAACGGCGGCGCTGACTGCGACTGCGACTGAGACTGAGACGTCAACGGCGACAGCGACAGCGCGTTGCACTTTTACCATTAAGATTGTTTCCTTTGGTATTTTTGCGTTGATGGATTTTCTACTCTTTTTTGTTGCTGTTGTTGTTGTTGTTGTGTCCGACTGTTTGTCTTTGGCTCGTCGCATCTGGCTTGGACATGCTTAAAATGCCTTTACACACACACACACACACACTCACGCACACACACAGACGCAGCGACTTGAAGTCTGTCGCTGAGCAACTGAATCGAAGTCGAAAAAAAAATGAATTGGATGCATTGCAAAAGTCAACTTGCCGTTGTCTCTCCCCTCTACACTGTTCACTCTCCACAACTTTGCTCTCCACACCGCTTCGCTCTCCCTCCCTCTGCAGACTTGGCTCGGTTTGGTTTGGTCCTCTGTGTATTGCCTTGTTATTGTCTCCAGCTTTAGTCTCCATTGGCATTGCCATTGCCATATAACCAACTGTATGCAGCATACACGCCTTTTGTTGTGCGTGTGCGTATGCCTGTGTGTGTGTGTGTGTTGGAATTTTTTAAACTGTCGTGGGCATAAAGAGGACATCGACTTAATAGAGAGAAAACAATTGCTTCTAATAACAGTTGCAGTCGACGTCGCAGTCGACGTCGTCGCAGCCCCCAGACGCACTTTTTCAATTTGCACTTTTTTGTGTTTTGTTGTTGTTGCTCTGCCTTAATTTCTTTTTTATTTCCTTTTTTCCTCAATTTTTTCTCTTTTATTAATTGCCTGCATTGTTTTAATTGTATTTCATTTTATTTTCACAGATCAACATTGCGGTTCAGTGCCTCAGCACGGACTTTAGCAGTCAGAAAGGTGTTAAGGTGAGTTTTTCTTATATGGACATATAAATTATATAGATATATATATGTAATAATTGAGATATGATTAAGCAATTATTAAATATTATATATATATAAGTTGAGCAATTATAAAATAAAGTTTATGTAGTTCGCTTGCTAGAAGGGACACTATAGACACTATAACACTATAGAAAAAGGTAGATAAAATATATGATGATATCAACAAGCCAATATCAATATCATATTGAAGCGCAGCCAACTTAATAAGGCAGTTTAGTTAATTAAGCGTTGCCAGACTGTTTAAATCATATGAATTGAGCTGAGCTTTTCGAAATATAGAAAATAGTGAACCAATTTGATTAAGCTATAAACAATATGCGACTCCTAGTCTATAAGTCACTCTTAGGCAACACACATCGTAGGCTAAATCGAACGTCATCTGCTTTGTCTTGGCTTAATAAACACCTGGGCACATAGAGTTGGCTATTTCAGTGTCGGTGTCTGTGCAACGTACAGGTTGATGAGCCCGAAGGCGTATCCCTGTGCTCCCGTTTGCCTGTGTTACCTGTTACCTGTGTTACACACTTAATCACATAGTCATAATACCCGGCAGGCGCAGCCACAGCAACGGCAACGGCAAGGCAAGGCCAACATCATAAAAGATAAAAGCAACAATATGTGCCTAAGGGGCAGAGTCAAGAGGCGATTGCTACAGTTCTGCCTCTTAACATGTATACGTAGGCAGTTGTTGTTGTTGTTGTTGTTGTAGCATCCTTTGTATGTTGTAATGCGTACCATTAAGTTGATATTTCATTGACAGAAAGACACGAACAGCTCAGAATCTGAAACGAGCATTGCTCTGCCACAGTGTGGCCTGCCTAAGTGCGCAGCTAGAGTTTAGTTCGTATTTTATGATTGATTGTTATATTTTTGGAATATATATATGTATTTTTTTTACATATTTCTCTATATCTTCTTCTGCAGGGCCTGCCGCTGCACGTACAAATCGATACGTTCGAGGATCCACGCGATGCGACGGTCTTTCATCGCGGCTACTGTCAGATAAAGGTCTTCTGCGATAAGGTAAGTGATTCTCAATTCGCAAAAGCTACCACATGCGAGAGAGCTCGAGATACATAATTACACATACACAGAGACGGTGGCAGTGGCAGAGACAGAGAGGAAGAGGCAGCTGCCACGTGCAACACAGCAGGTTGAATGAAGCTAACTAAAAGCGCTGCGACGTGCCTCGAGGCAAAGCCCTGCCAATTGTTGTTGTTGTTGCCACTTGTCGCTTGCTGCTTTTATCGAATTGGGGGCAACTGCCTGCTGCATGCTACATGCTGCAAGCTGCCTGGCATTTGGCTTGTCCCTTCATCAACGTACCCAATGTCCGTTTCGAGCTCAGGTGGAAAGCGTAACGCGTACAAAAGTAAATGGACAGGGAACCCTCTCCCCTCGCCTCCCTCCCCACTCCCTTGAGCTCTGGCACTGTGGCACTGATTCCCTGGCATCATCCTTTCGCCTTTTGTCGTGCCCTTGTTTTGAGCCAACGTTTCGCCTTGGTCTGCCTCTCTCTCTCTCCCTCTCCCTCTCTCTGCTTGCTTCATATGCGAACCCTTCACTTTTTTTGCGCTTGATGTGCTTTATTAATAAATCATTTCGTGGATTTCCAATTTAATTTTCTCATATCATTACACTTCTGCTGCTTCTTCTTCTTCAAGTCCAGCCATGAACAGGCCTGACTACCTTTTATTGTACTCCACACAGCACATACTATCCATAACCCTTACACACACGCGCGCACTGGGGGTTTAACCTGGAACTTCGAGGCGTATGTTTATCGATAAATGTATCAATTAAATTTCGCGTACCAGCTTATTTTATATACACACACACACACACGCACATACATGCTCTGCTACATCATGTATTTTACACGCATTTCTCTTGGCTTTTTGCTGCTTCTGCGATTTCTCTGCATTTGCAATTCGGCTGCAATTGCCGCCTTTTGGCACCTTTTTCCATTGCAATCAATGCAAAAATATAGGTTTTGCGTCTTTTCTGTCTTTTCACCAAAAAAAAAAAAAAAAAAAAAATAAATGAAAACGAAAATCGTTTAAGAAACTGCCGCCACATTACGATAAACAAATTTCACTGCACAGATAAAGATCTTTAAGTTGCATGTGGAGAGATGGGGATTGTATGAGAAGAAATTAAATGGCTTAATGCATTTACAATTTGAGTTTTTAAATATCATTTATTAACTCTTAGACAGTACTCATAACTGTATAACTGCTGTCTAGATGCAATCGTATTTGTCTGCTTCTTCAATTCCTCCTATTTAAGAATCTCTTGTTGATTGTCAATCAATCATTCAGTTAGCTTGACAGTCCGTTAATCACTCCTGCGATCTATCCGTTGCTCAGTCACTCAATCAGTCAGCATAATTCACTTAGCATATCAAGCAATCAATGTGTTTGCCAATCAATCAATCTAGCAAACTTTAAGTCAGTCAGTCAATCGTTCAGTCAGCTGTTACTTCTTCAATCACTGACTCAGTCAGTGAGGACATGAGTCAGTCAGTCAATTACTTATTCTATCAATCAGATCATCATACAATCAGTCTGGCAATCAAGCATTTAATCGGCTAGCCATTTAGTCTTTCAATCATTCTCTTAAACAATCAAAAAGTCAATTAGCGAGTTCATCAATCAGACTCTCGTTAGTAAGTAACTGACTCGTAGGCTCAATCAGCACTTCAGTCAGTCCATAATTCAAACCGTCAATCAGTTCGCCAATCAATCAAGCAGTAGATCAATCAATCAGCTAGTCATGTCAGTCAGTCAGTTTTTCAATCAATCCCTAACCAAACCAAGTCCATCAATCCGTCGATACGTCTGTTTATGTGCACTTTCAATCAGTTCGTCAATCAGTCAATTAATAGTTCAGGCACACGCTCAATCACACTAATTAGTGTTACCATCAATCAGTCAATCACTCAGTTTCAATAGATTTAGCTATAGATAACAGTTGCGTCTTCAGATTAAATTTCGCTCCAGTTGTGTCGCGCTGTGGCACAGAGAAAGTTTATAATACGCATTTATACACATTTATTAAGATCTCCAGCCAAGCAAAATTTATCGATAAACACAACATGAAAAAAGCGCTTTTGGTAATCGCTGCGACTATCGCAGCTAACCAAATATGCGGCGCAACTGATGACCATAGCACGACTCTCCCTGACTCTCTCTCTCCCTCTCTCACACTCTGTCTGACTCCCCCACACGTCCCGCTGCAGCCACTGGCTCAGTTGGTCGATTAAGAAGCAGGAGGAGAAGGAGGCTGTGGAGATGTAGAAGAAGCAGAAGAAGAAGGCGTACGTTGACCGCATTGGCGGCAATTCGAGCCGCTGTCTGAGCGGCTTTGGCGATATTTTTGCCAAGATAAAATAAAAGTATGTAATAAAATACAGTTATTTACATGCAGGCACACACACACACATACACACACACACAAATGATGTACAGCGAATGCTCTAGGCAAAAAGAAAAATTTGTAGTTGTGATAAGCGCAGCAGAAGGCGCAACAGGTGAAGGGAGCGGCGAGGCTTTATAGGTAGCGCAGCATGTATGTAAGTGTGTGCGTGTGTGTGTGTGTGCGTGTGTGTGTGTGCAGGCAGTCATAAGCACATCTTCACATCCTTGCATAACTTGAGCAGAAAAAGCTATAAAATAAATGGCTAACAGCGCAGAGCTGCTAAAGCTGGGCGAGCAGCAGGAGAAGAGGCAGCAGCAGCAGCAGGAGGAGGCGCTCTCTATGAAAGGGGGAAAAATATCACTTCCTGCGCGCCTCAATTGCTTGATTTTTAATTACAAATGCAAAGTGCTGCAGCAGCAGAGGGAAGGAGAGCGAGCAGAATCTGTTTACACGCAAACCTGCAATCACAGTGAACGCTAGCTATGAGCGACATGTCTCTGTATAAATATATATGTATACATATGTGTGTGTGTGTGGCAATCAAGCAAAGCCAGCAGCTGCTGCTGCTGCTGCTCAGGTGGGCAAATTGGCAACAGGCTGCAGCAACAAGCTGGAGGCGCCGCCGCCGCCGAATTATTTATGATGTATGCATATTTATGCAGCATCTCGCTAAGTATTTTATAATAATTTTACAACAAATCGTTTGCTGTTGTTGTTGACCCTAACGGTGCCTGGCCGAAAGCTCTTATTGGCCACGTTGGTGGCAGCCAAAAACTTGTTTGTACAGCAGGCAGCAGGCAACAAGCAGCAGCAGCAGCTCTTGAAACGTCTGCAATCTGCCACAAGCTGTGGCAAGGCTTATGCCACTTGCTACACGATTTTAATTAATTTATAAAAGAAAATACGAGAAGAAGCTGAAAAAAACAAAAATGCAATAAACAAAATGTGCGCATCCCATGCATTTTGATTGATTGCTAATTACACACACACACACACACACATACACATACACATAAGCAACACACCTGGCGCTGCTTGCGCAAGTGTCCAAGCGCTTAGCTAAGCCCGCAATTAAAACATTCAAAAGTCCACTAATCGAGCAGTATTCGACTAGCAAAATACCCTAGACTCTGTTGCTCATTCACTATTCGGCCTCCATAAGTCTATTAAGATGGGATTACGCTTCGTCTTTTATTGTTCTTCTGACATTAAATGTCTATTAAATGATCTTGTAATTTTATAAGTCTTAAATGTGTCAAAGCAATGTTGTGAGGTATGATAGCTTTTAGCTTTAGGTAGGGTATCTAAGAAAAAATTGTTTCTTATGTGTGTTTACTTTAGAAGACACTATACACCAAAATTTCTTAGCTCTAGCGCGCATAGTTCTCGAGCTATGCTTAAAAAACTATGATTAAGATTGATCTACAATTAATTTTTTGAGATAAATGTAAGCAAATTAAAGAAATAATCATAAAAAGTGACTTAAATATATAAGAGTTAAAGATGCCATACATATAAATAGAGCTAGATACAAAAGACCAAAGCTCTACTTGAACAAAATCAATTTAAAAGTGCCTACTTTGGGCTATCTAAAAAAGAATTTATTCTTATATATGCCTACATTATATATGCATACACACCAAATTTCGTAGCTCTAGCGCACATAGTTCTCGAGTTATGCTAAAAAAACCAAAGCAGCATATTGAATTTCTAACAATATTAAAACAAATTATAGCAGACATAAAAGAAAATACTGTCTTTAGCGCTTAGCTGAACTGAGAGACAACTCTATATAAACTGTCATCCTGATATATATCATTTTTATGATATTTGCTCAAAATCTATACTCTTCGAAGAAGCTGCTCTCCGACTCTTACATAAAACAAATATGCCCTGCTTACACACAGTTTGAATACATACTGTGTCTAAGGAGCTTTTCCACTCTTTCTAGCAGCTACTTAAACCTTTCTCTCTCTCTCTCTCTCTTCCTCTCTCACAACAAAGGGCGCCGAGCGTAAGACGCGCGATGAGGAACGCCGAGCGGCCAAGCGCAAAATGACAGCAACTGGACGCAAGAAGCTGGACGAGCTCTATCATCCGGTCACAGATCGTTCCGAGTTCTATGGCATGCAGGATCTGGCCAAGCCGCCAGTGCTCTTCTCGCCCGCCGAGGACATGGAAAAGGTAAGTCACAGATGAGATAACAAAGCTATGGATGTAATGTAACTTTCGTAATCTTGCAGAGCTTCTATGGCCATGAGACTGACTCGCCGGAACTGAAGGGCGCTTCGCCTTTTCTGCTGCACGGCCAGAAGGTGGCCACGCCCACGCTCAAGTTTCACAATCATTTTCCGCCCGACATGCAGACGTGAGTAAAAATCGTCATCCTTTATGCAGAGGACGCGCCTCTAGCTGCTCAAGCACAGTTTAATTAATCGCCAACTCTGTTCCCTCTCTCTCTCTCTATATGTTTAGTGATAAAAAGGATCACATATTGGATCAGAGTATGTTAACCAGCACGCCGATGTCCGACTTTGGGCCACCCATGAAACGGGGTCGCATGACGCCGCCGACCACGGAGCGAGTCATGCTGTACGTGCGGCAGGAGAACGAGGAGGTCTACACGCCGTTGCATGTGGTGCCGCCCACGACGATTGGCCTGCTCAATGCGGTAAGTGAATAAAGCGTGCAAGAAGAAGAAGCAGCAGCAGCAGCAGCCGGTTGACCCAGCATGTGAACCTATCCAAACGTAATACATATTCCCCCAAAAATTCACAATGCAGTCTAAAAAAAAACCAAACAAAACAAATTAAGCCCAAAACTCTAACGTCTGTAATTTTGTTCATTTTGGTCGAATTGGTAAAGCGCAAAAGAAATTTAAAAATAAATATAAAAACTATCAAATTGAAATTTCAAATCCAAAATGAAGAAGAAACCTCGTTTATGCAAACATAATACAAAAAAACTGACCAAAGTTAATGCATTTATTCAACTAAAGCATTCTGTTAAAACCCAAACTTCATATCAATCGTAATTCATCTAAAATTAAAAAAAAAATAAGAATTAAAAATAATAAAAAAATATATTTATATTAAATTGTAGTTGAAACTAATTGAAAGCGTCGTAACCAAGTCACATAAAAATCATCAAATATAAAAACTACTCTTTATATGTACCTCTATATACCGTACATACATGTATATATATACTCTATATGCATATGTGTGTGTGTGTATATATACCTATGTGTATATCTATCCATTTATAACTACACTTAACCCACACGATACGGCACAGGCAACAGTTGAAGATTGGCTGAAATAAAAAAAAATCCACAAAAAATATATATAAATATGTATACATTTAAAAATGATATAGAATTTTCGAAAAATATTTCAAAGTATTTTGAAAAATATTTAAATCAATTCTTTTATTATAAAAAATATTTTTAAAAATCTTTATTTGTTTCAATATCTTAAAAATACATAATATATGCTTAACATATAAAAAACAAAAACATTTCTAAATAAATAAAGTATTTTAGATATCTTAAAGTTAATTTTGAAAACTTAAAAAATATCAAAAAAATATTTAACAAAGTATTTTTAATAATATTTAAAAGTAATTTATTAAATAATTTAAAGACTTTTCAAAAAATATTTTCAATAGGTTTTAAAAATATTTAAAATATGATTTTATATTATTTAAAAAAAAAATTATGGAAAATATTTAAAAAATGATTTTAAAAATATTTCAAAAGAACTAGCAAAATATTTAGCAAAAATACTTATCAAACGTTTTTTCCAAATGAACAACATTACAAACACACGAAGAGTTAAAAGAGAAATATTTTAGTTTGATTAGCAAGATTTTTTGGTTGAATTTGATCTCTCGTTAGCGGCTACTCGTTACTCGTTACTCTCGTGCAAAACACAACAGACAAAACATCATATTTCTCTCGTTTCTCAATTGCAGATTGAAAACAAATACAAAATATCAACAACGAGCATAAATAACATATATCGCACAAATAAGAAAGGGTAAGTAAGGCAGCTGTGTCCAAGTGCTAAACACACACACACACAACACACATACTACACACACAACAGACTACACACACACGATACACGACACACACACTCAACCACTTTGCACTTGTACTTCATGGAGAACTAACAATGGCAAAAACACGTTCATCTTGGTAGCTTAGTCTAAAAGCAACTAACTCTTAACTTGGTTAAAGAAACTGACTCGACTCTATATAGATATATAGAAACCTCATGTATATAACGCCAGTCTTACATGTGTCTTTTGCCTTGCAGGATTACGGCGAAAATTGACGATGATATGATATCCTTCTACTGCAACGAGGACATTTTCTTGCTGGAAGTGCAGCAGATCGAGGATGATCTGTACGACGTGACGCTCACAGAGCTGCCCAATCAGTAGTAGTTGAACTCAAAATACACACACACACATAGACACAGAGAGAAGGGAAACACACACAAAAATGTGGACACAATTTTGCTAAAACAAAAACAAAAACAAAAAAGTTGTTTCAATAAGCCATCTTTTCAAAATAAGCCCTAAGTTAGGCCTAAGCGCTCGATATGCATATTATGAATATATATATGGAAAATATTGAAAAATATTATATACATATATATATACACATATATATATACGTATATTTAGTTGTAATTGTTTTTGTTTAGCTACTTTAGTAACAATGAGATTACATCAATTTCTTAAAAACAAATTTCAATTCTCGCTATGTTAATATATATTAAAACAAGAAGAGGAAGAAGTAAAAGAACAACAAGAATTAAGTGAAATTATCATCTTTATGTATTTATAAAAAATATATATATACATATATATATATATGTCTAAGCTAAGTTAAGTCGAACAAGAATAGAGTGCAAAATGTCTGTCCAGTTAAACGTTTAAGTTCTGCTAGGCCTTAGGTCCAAAACTCCCTAAAACCCCTCTGAAATTAAACTAAAAATATTTCAAATTCTACGCTAAACACAATTTAATTAAGTTTTCTTTAATTGTTGTAAAACTGTTTAAAAAAAATCGTTTGTTCTTTGTCTCTTCAAAAAAAAACCTTGTTATTTGTGGCTATAAATGTTGAAATATATATATATACTTAATTAATAAAAAATAAACATAAACAACAAAATAATTAGGATCTCTGCTAAACACAAAAACAAAACAGATTTTGCTTCCAATGCCTAGAACAAAACGTAAAAAAAAAGAAATTGTCAAAAAAAATAAACTCTAAAGTAATTAACTTAAAAAATATATATACAAAAAAAAAACAAATATATATAAGAAGCTCTGCAATAAAACATGTTGATAAAAATCTTAATTAAGTCCAAGTTAAGGCAATGAAAATAACAAAAAAAAAACTTAAAAAAAAAACTTAAATGAAACAGAAAAAATTGTGTGCATTTGTTGTAAAACAAGAAAAATCTATAAAAAACAAAATCAACAAGATCAAAAGTTGATTCAAAACAAAAAATAAAAAAATGGAAAAACTACAAAGGCGTAGTTTTTAGCATTCGAGCAAATGAAAACAATAATAATAATATAAACATATATATAATAATATATATATACATAAATAATATTTCGTAATACAAATAATTTAAATTTTATACAGCATATATATGACATTGTGCGTTTACAATCTTTGTTTGCCATAATTAACAGCTTACTTAATTTAATTAACAATTGTTTTCTCTACATATATATATATATATAAACATTTTATAAACAATTAGCAAAAGCAGAAGAAACCTAATCTTTTTTCCTGCTTTTAAAACAATTTTAATACTCCGCATCAATTGCTACAAAAAAAGAGAAAAAAAAAAACAAAACTTGCTCAATATTATATTATAATTTTGTTTATTATTTTTAACAATACACACACACATACACTCACACACACGAAAACTCTTCTATTTCTCGATTGTAAGACAAAACAAATTTTTTATTTCAATTTATCATCTTTCGGTGTTGTACATCACAATTTGTTTTTAGTTGTAGTCCCTAAAGAGCTGTAAACGTAATAATTCCAGATATATATATATATAAATACGATATTACGATAATAATAATAATGATAATAATCTGAATGAGAAGGAATCTACAAATGATTGAAATGAGAATCGAATCGAATATCTTGCCGACATGTTATAAATCTATATGTTTAGTTTTAATTTATAAGTTTTATGCTCTTTCTACAAAACACACACACACATATATATATATAGCACATATATATATGTATTATATATACAATATATATATTTGAAAAGCCAATAATTTATTTTTTGTTACCTGTTGGAAACGATTCCGCGAAAAATAGTAAAAGTTAAACTGAAACTGAGCGCAAGTATGTATGTATGTGAGCTTGAGAAAAATTTTCAAAACAAAAAAAAAAAACAAAAAAAAATAAAACAAAACAAAACACAAAAAAAAGATGAACAAATTGTACAATATTATCATAATGAATACACAAAATTTAAATAAAGAACAAAAAGTAAACGAGTCGTGTACTTATTTATACAGAGTTGAACAATATTTGCATTTATTTATTAAATCATTTTATTCTATATTTATCCTTAACTGTCAGTAATTTACAATCTTTTTCTAACCTTATCTATTTAACATAAGCGGAAATTCCACTTCCACAAGGTTTTTGGGCAGCGCAGCCTCTGTTATGTTAACGTAACAGCAAGCTAACAGTGTGCACTGCTTGAACTCTCCGTTGTGCATAGCTGCTGTTAGAGCTGTGTGTCCCATTGCATTTCACGGAGAAAGCATGTCGCTCTGCCAGTTCGCCCACATGTGCTATGCAAAAGAGCGCCCACTCAAAGTTGCGCTCAAGTTGTCGAGTTGCCGGCAATCCAAAGGTTGGTGAGTGCGTTTTCGACTCTAGCGAGCATGTTGCTATAGCAACCGGCTGCAACAGTTGTGCGCCTAAATCTCTCATTCTTTCGCTCTCTCTACGTTTGCCTATGCGTCGACGTCGTCCGCTTGGCTTTCGGCAGTTCAGTATTAGTTTTTCTTTTTGGCAGTGCTGTTGCTATCGTCTGCTGTCCAGACTTTTACAGTTATTTCTAATTTGCACAGAATACGTATAATATGCACACATATTTGTGCTCTTACAACAAATGTTAAGTACAATCTGTCTGAAATGTGCATGTGCCTGAGCTTGAGTGTGTATGTGTCTGCTAAATAAAGATAAGATCTTGGATGATCTCTAATGTCAGCGCACAGTTGATGACAAAACTGATTACCAACCACAGATAAAACGGCTCGCTGTGAAAGACATAACAATAGATGCCAAGTGCGCGCGAAGCCATTCACCATTTTTTTTTCACTACTCAGTTTAGTTCGTTGCTGCGTGTGCATCGCGCCGGTTGTGATTTACAGTTATTTGTGTGTCGCTTTTGCTGTTGCTGTCGCTATATCCACCTCCCTCTCGCCCATTACATTGCACTAGCAAGTTTTGAAAGCGACAGCTGTGGCCGAAGCCGTTATACAAAAGTCACTTATCGATTGATTTTATAACGGTTTCATGCATACACATAACCAAATGTCAGCTAATTGACATATTTTTGTTTATGTGCATGTGTTTAACAGCATTGGCCGCATTTCTAGCCAACTGTGACAGGTAAGAAATTTTACTTCTACCAATATTTATTTACTAAAAGACAGTTGCACTTGTTGCCTATAAATATTATTTAAAACAAATACATATATACCCTGTAACAAGAGTGTACAGTATATAGAGCTGTGCTAATGTGTGTGACAATTAAATTAGTTCTGTCTTAGCTGGCGTCTGTGATATACGAGGCGTATGAAAAATGGAGCATGTGATAAAACCAGATAAATTTGTTTTCTGAAGATAAAGACAAAGGAATGCAATTCTAAAAGCTGAACCAAATGTTAGAAAGGAGATTAAAGGAGATTAAGAAGATTATGTAAAGTACACAGAGCGTCTAGGCAGACATATATTTTGCTATAGGCGCTAGATAGGGGTTTTAAAGAGGGCAAAGTAGAAATGTATTCTTCAGCTTAGCTTAAGTTGAGTATGAGCTGTTTTTTTTTTTATAAAAAATTGATTGGAAATGGAAAGCGCAAGTCAATATACCCTTTAGGCTCCAGCGAATGCCAACTATTTATAGGATATCTTAAAGTGCTACACCTTTCACTAGATTCCATTTGCTTTGTGGTGCATGGCAAATGTTTACAGTTTCAATTCGAAGGCAATTAAATCCAATTGAAAGGCACTCGGGATCGACTACAAAGAGTTCGAATTCCCCCACTTCCTGATCGACGCTGCAAGGCACGCGAACCACGCGAGACCCAGATGCTATCTATAGCTGAAGTTAATGCATTTGTTTATTTTTTTTTTCATATTCTACTAACAACTGTTATTATTGCAAGTGTCCATCTCGTGTGTGACACAAAATATATGTAGATATATAAATATATATACTTCAGATCTTTCATAACCGTGTGAACAAAAATGCTAGCAATTTGCTTCTTTATTTATTTAACAATTAGTTAGCGCATTAATTGTTAATACCTGAGCTTCGAGTGACTGTGCATGATGTGTGCAGGTAACATTATCAACATTTATAATTACGTTCCGAGTATCCAATTTTCTAATTTTCTAATATATATGTATGCTGCGCTATGCCAAGGAGACAAAGTTCAGAACATGCTAGCGTTACATACGATCAACTCGACTTGACTCAACTCGGCTCGAAATGGAATTTCCCCCATCCGGACGACCTTTAGCGCCTGTTTTTTTTTTTTGTTCCTAATACTTGTTTGTACAGTGCAAAAAGGGTATATTAGTAGTGTTTGTATAACACTCAAGATTTTATATTGGTGTTCATATATGTTTGAATATTAGCATAGTACGTAAATCTGAGTTCATAAGATGCCTGGCAAAATTATATCTGGTAGAGATCTATTTTTCGAATGCTCAAAACTTAAATAATACTTGGTTGAATAATGAAAATGGGTATATTGGCTGGAAGTCAAAAGCTCTGATTTTCAATTTGAACGTGCACTGTGCCGTCGCTTAAGGCCGCTTGTCAATTTGTTTTCGAGTCGCAGTTTCCCTAACTGTTATCGCAGTTCACAGTCACGGTCTGACTCTTATTTTACGGATTTATGCCTAGTTAAGCTAATAAGCTGTTTCAATTTGTTAACTGAACTATTTAACAATTGTTTTTTCAGTTGTGCCTCGGTTAGAATCAAAAGTTTGTTTAGTCAAAAAATAAAGTTGGATCTCTTCTGGTTTCTGTGGGTGCGGCAGATCATGAATCACCTACAAATTTATGGCTCTTCATTTTGTTTAATATTTTCGAGCAAAAGTTATCAGATTTTTGTTTTGTTGACTTTTGCTTTTATCTTGGCACACATTTCCAAATGGGTTCGAATAATCAATGGCCAAGACTCTCTTGCAACATCTCTTTATGAACTGTTAACAAAGCCTTTAAACAACATTTTTTTATTGTCGTTGCTGTTGCTGTTGATGTTGTTTACGCAGTTGTTGTTGTTGTTGTTCAATCATATCAATTTAATCTGGAAAGAAAACATATTTCATATGCTGAGGGCTTGGCTTGTTTGTGCATAGAATTCGCCATGGCACCTCAAGTTTATCGGAAATTTCAACTTAAGGCCATAAACTCTGCTCTCTTCTTGATATATCCCTATTTAAAAAGAGTTTAAATTTATGAAATTTAAATTATATTTAAAGTTAACTTTCTTCAATTTTTCCATATATATAAGGTTGCGTTAGACAAATAAAATACTTTTAATTGTTTATCTATTTCTATTTTTCTATTTCATTTTTCTGCCATTTTCATCAAAATGTCATTTCTCATGCCCATTTCAATCCCAGATCTTTCTCCAATTTCACAATTTGCCTAAAGTTAGGATATTTCAAAGTCAACATTCTCAGCTTAATTGCTTTAGTGTAGGTAAATTGCATTTAATGTTGTTTAATTTGAAGCTCGCCTCACTTACCGTTAAAGCTTGCCATTCGATCAGCTGCGCGGAAAGCTTTCGTTAAGCTTTACTCTGCTGCACTCGCGCACCGTGGAGCATGTTTCGTTTAATAACGTCCCTTCACATTTCAGACAGAAAATGAATTTGAATGTGAGCCAGTTTTATAATATTTACATGGCAAATCAGATTTCTTGACAATTATAAAGTCATAAAGTAAATTGCACACAATTTTCTTATCTTAATGTGACATTACAAACTTAGATATGACTAATTATAAAATAAAGAAACACACAGACTGGAAAGAAATGCATGCTATATAATGCTAATAATAATAAAAACTATAAGAGCTAAGTCACCTTTGTGTTAATTGGCTCAAGCTTTAGTTCCAATAAGAAAAAACCCCCCAGAGACCACGCCTGTGCGCATCAAGCGCAGATCAGAAAGTGGTTTGCGGGGTGGGGGGTGTCAGCAACAGAGAAGCAGGCGCGAAGTTAACCGCAAAACGCTGTGCTTTTAATCAAAAGTTTTTATTGATTGGCGTCGTGCTTGAGGAAATTGCTAAATGCGCGCAAAATAATTTCCAATTCTCTCACAAGCGCGTGTAGAGTGCGAGTGTAGAGAGAGCAAGTGCACGCGCGCGCGCCTCTACTTACACTCACACTCGCACACGCACTCTGCCAATCACACAAACTCTACAAACTCTACACAGCCAGAGAAGGCGCGAGCTTTGGCAACGGCTTCGCGTGCCTTTTGTTATTTGCTGTGTTTTCAGTTTTTAAGATCACTTTGTGCCGTACGGTTCAGCCTTTTGAGAGCGCACACTGAGCGTGTGTGTGCGTGAGAGAGAGAGTTAGTATAGGAAGGTAGCAGACGATAATTATTTTGTGTACTTAATGCATAAATAAAAAACAATCCGAGATATATTAAATAAAGCTGTGCCAACTGACTCAACTCTTGCCAAAAAAAACACCAATTTTCAATTCCGTCTTCGCATATCAATGTCAAGTGCCGTCCGCTCCACCGAATCCGGGGTCACAAGTGCTCAAGCGGCTGATTAACGTTCAATAGAAGCGAGCGCAAAAATAAAAACAAAAACAAAAATACAATAAGAAATAACAAAACCAAAAAAACAAATAAAGACTAAAAAAGGTGGAACGGCGCGAAACACGTTTCGTGTTTGTGTTTTCCTAGCTGAAAAATAAAAACAACAAATTACTGAAATTATTGTTGTTGCAGAAAACAAATAGTAAATATAAATAAATTAAATTAATTAAATAAATCAGCTTCTTGGCCAGAGCCCAGAGTCCAGGGCCAAAGGGAGAAAGCAATACACGGCAGCAGCACTTGCAAAGAGCCAGCGAAAGAGTGAGGGAGACTGAGAGACAAAGCGAGACGAGTCGAGGTTATAGTTACCAAAGCGAACCTGATCTCAAAACTGAAGCAGCAGCGGCAATAGCAGCCGCTCGGGAAGCGTAACGGCTTTTGCTGCTCTTACCAAATATGAGCATAAGCTGTTAGCCTGGCTTTAGCTAACCACGTAATTCAAGCAGCCGTAACTTACCAGCAACAACAACAACAACAACAACTACAACAACAACCATTGAGAATGGAGCGCTCGCAAAGCTGCAGTAATTTTGAAGGCGCGCCGGAGGCTGTTGCCGTCAACAAGCCACTGACCGGCAGCAGCGACAACTTGCCGCACAGACTTGCCACCAGCAACATGTTGCACTATCCGCCCAGCAAACCGTTGCGCAAACGCAAACGCCTGCAACGTCAACAGTCGATCATCGTGGACGATGCGGATGACGAGCTGCTAAGCTGTGAATGCGCCTATGCCGCGGATCTGGAGGAGAATGCCGATGTAGATCTGGATCTGGATCTGGAGATGGCGCAGCCATTGATCATGCCACGCCTGACCCAGCGACACATCTTGGCCAACAACGGACGCCAGCTGCGGCATGAGGAGTCCTTCGACTCGAGCAGCACAGCGCCAGAGCTGAGTCCGCAGGCGGTGCGCCAGCATCGCTTCAGCAGTTTACTGTTGCGTGACAGCTCCGTCTCGATGCAATCGGATTCGAGTCGCTATTCGAGTGTGGACAGTCTGCTCGAGTCACGCAAACCCGACCCGGAGGCCATACTCATTAATCTGGGCTTTGGACCCATCGGCACCGAGGACATGCTCGCGCGCATACCGAAGCGTTTCCTCAAGCCCTCCAAAGTGCCCGGCATCGATACGGAAGCGTTTGTCAAGCGCCTGCAGCTGGCCAGCTCGTTGGCCGACTCGAGCGCCCTGGGCTATCGGGGCCTCACCTACAGCTCCGATCAGCCGCCCTCGTCGATTGTGGCCAAGATCATGCAGCGCTTCGAGGTCAACAATCAGCGCAAACAGTCCATGGGCAACATCGAGCACACGATACGATGAGACAGACGCCGCTCCACACTATCCATATATATAATATATCCAATACATATACAACTATCTACATATAGAGATCTGAAATTGTGCAACCTAGGCTAAGCTAGTTGTAAGGCGGACGCAGAGCCAGAGCCAGAGCGCGGGGCTTTACCCGACATGGGAGTTTTTCCATTACTATATATTATATATATTATCGTTATTGTCATGTGATGTTTATCTTGTCCATTAGCTTTTAGTTGTGCCGCGTACTTAGCTTTGTCTATTGTCTTACCTACCGATTCGGGTTTTATTATATTTGTTTTAGACTTTTTATAAACTCAATTTTAAGCATTAAAATAATAATACAAATTGCTATTTAATTTTTTCATATTTTATTTTCACGTGTTTTATTCGAGCGTCACTTCTAGAGATTTATTTTGTTTGGCTTTTATTATTATTGAAACGTAACTTACCCAGTTTAGTCATCTGATCTCTTCTTCTCTTTCGCTTGTTATTTATCATTTGCTGTCACTTTTTAGCTTCTTCTTTGTGCCGCAAACTTGAAGGTTTCCGGAATGCCTCACGCTTTGTTTTTAGCATTCTTCTTTGTGTTTTATTCTTAAACGTTTGATGAATGCAAATGCTGTTGGTCTTAGTTCACATTTTGGCTTCTTCTCTGTGTTATTCACATTCTTAACTGTTTTATTAGTCTGAAGCTATTTAGGAATATTTAGTTTAAGTATTGCCTTTTATATATTTTATAAACTACAATATTGAAAGCATTTTTTTTCAGATCAATTCACTTTTTGCTTTGCTCTTTGTGTCCATTTTCTTAAACGTTTATTGTTGCCGCATATTCCACTGCCTTCATTGTTCTTCTTGGTCTTCTTTTTGTCTTTTATTCTGAGTCGTTTCTTGGCCTTATCTTGATAGAGCTTAGCAGTTCTCTCTCATTAGGTCAGTCGCATTCCCAAACGTTTTCAAATATTTTCGCTTCAACACCTTTGGGTGTTAAAGCTTTCATAAGTTCCCCTCAAAGTGAATCAATTTAGCGCCTTTCTGTCTAAGCGTTGCATTCTCGAACGTTTCTTATGCAAGCGGCTATTCCACTTTCTCTCCCTTCTCTCTCAGTAGCCCTTTGCATTCTTTGAGGTGTGACAAATTTCTATTTTGCTTCAACTTGCATTCTTCAACGTTTTCCACAATTCCCCCATTTGACGCACTAGTAGCTATAGCAAAAGTCGATTTTAGTCGATCCTCGCTTAGCCTGAGAAATCTGTTCAAATATTTATCATGAACTGTGAAAAGCGTGTCAAGAAACTGTTCCACGGTTGAAGCAGCTAATCGACTTCTATGAACTGCTGCTACAAACGCCTTTTCCATATTTACCTCTAAATATATATTTTTTATCTCTGGCTTAGGTGTTTCTTTTTATCGATTGCTTTACATAAGGAGCAAATGTTATATTTAGAAACCGACGTCATACGTCAGACAAAGCGTCAACAAAAATCATAAAGGCGGCAAACAAAATTCAATTGCGATATGAATTAAAGAAAAATAACAAAAAAAAGGGCAGAGGTGGGAAGGCTCGACTAAAAGATACTCTATATATGGGAGCTAAGAGAGAGAGAGAGAGAGAGGGGGGGGGTAAAGAAAGAGTAGAGGGAGGGAGAGGAGAGGAAGGAAATTTATATGTAGAGAGAGAGAAAGACAGAGAGAGTTGAAGATGGGGCGACGGAAATGTAGGCAGAGGGAGAGAGAGAAAGAGTGAGAAATACTACCTTTTTATGGGATTTTCATTTAAAAACAAAAATTTGTTGATAATAGAAGAATGAAAGCAGATGCTCGTAATAGAGATAATAGACAGACAAAGAGAGTGACACAGAAAGTAAAAAAAATAAATTTTGTCAAAATGTAAGCAATTAAATTAAAAATGATTACAAAATTCGGCAATTAAATTAAAAATTATTTGAAATATTACAAAATTCAGTTTTATGTACGAATATTTTCTGCTGCTAAATTTATTCAAAATATTGAAAATTGATGCAAATTGTTGAAAGAGGAAAGAGAATTGCATAGAAGGGCATTTCACTGGTTTCATAATGATATTATAAACAGGTCTCTCTATCTCTCCCTCTCTCGCACTCTCTCTCTCTCTCTCTCCAGGCCTGAATGGCAATTGCCTTATGTCTCGCAACTACGCTCTTTTGCTGTAAGTGTTACAGGGTATTTAAGTAAACATATATATTTAGCAAGCAAATATTCAAAGACCTCCAACTGTTGTTGCTTGGCATATCTAATTGTGGTTGTTGTTTCATTGTTGTTGTGGTTGTTGTTGCTGTGTTATCGAAAGTAAATTTGCTGAGTAGTTAAAAAAATACATTTATTATTAGCCCGTGACATATATATACAAATTACATACATACATGCATATCTATTACACACATACATAATATGTATGCATGTAATTCATATATAGGATAAATCGCATCTCAGCTGATTGTCAAGCGTTTTCATTCGGCAGCTACTTTGAGGGCTAACAATTTGTTGTACTTGAGTTAAGTTTATTGATTTCAATTGGTTTTAATTAATATAAGCAAGAAACACAAATAGGAAGAAGAAGAAGAAGCTGTAGAAGAACGGAGGAGGACACTTGCTGCTGCCCGCTCAATCTTTATCACGATCGAAGCGAATGCAATTGGCGTTAGACTCTTTGAACTTTCTATAAATTAATTTTTTGTTTTGCACAAACAAATAAAACGTCATAAAGAGCCGCTGTTGGTCAATAGATAAGAAGCTGAACATGAATATATATACAAACAGATACAGATACAGAATATATTTCTATATATTTCATAACACCTTGAAATTTGCGTTCTATTTGAGCAGTAAAAAGTAGAAAACGCAGTGCGTCGAGTCGGCACAACTAGCAGATACCCTGCACAGTGCGCAGAACTTTGCTGCTTCAATTATTGGGCAGTTTTTATAGACTGAATTATATTATCAGAGAATTCTGACATTAAAATTCAAGTCTCTAAAAGTCTAACTCTAAGAACTAACAAGAAAGCAGCATTCAGAAGGGCAGAAAGAAGGCTAGACGAACAGATCGACTCAGCTGGGCATACCAATCAAATAATTATGCACTTAAATATTTCTTACAAGCCTGGCCGCAAAACCAACATACCTTAAATGCGCATATTCATAAGCACAGGGTATACCAAACTGCTAAAATAGTTATGGGTTACGAAGAAAAGGCAACACATGACTCGAGTTCAGTAATAGAAGTATCTATAGCTATATATATATATATATATATATACATATATATGTATCTATATATGTAAACGTCTCTGTATCTGTCACGATATAACTGTATCTAGTCAAGAAATGAATGCACAGCGCACAAAGCAGAGAACGAGATAAAAGATACCAAAATCTGCATAAAGCACTTTGCATATAAATAAATAAAGTATTTTGTTGTTGTTGCTGTTGTAGTTTTGGGCTGCCTGCTGTGTTGCAAGCAAAAGACGCGAGCAAGTTCAAGGCGCGTGAAGGTGTTGCATAGATACAGCAGCAACAACAGCGACAGATAGAAAGATACTTTTGTATGCGCATATGCAGATACTTTTAGCTCTTAGCCAGTGGCTGGTTTGTCAAAAATAAAACGCCCACGCCGGAAGCGAGCGAAAATGCAAACAAAACATATGAAAACGTGTGAAAAACAATTAGCAAGCAGCAGCGCCAGCAGCGGCAACAACAATAAAAGCAAAACATTTGAAAAATTCAAATTGAAAAATGTGTCACAGCCAGTGAATTTTGTGTTTCTATTTCTGTTTTAATGAGCGTGGGCGCTTTGATTAATGGGCCGATGTGCATTCCACTTGCTGTTTGCCTAACATTGACATTAAAACACATTTAATTGAAAAGAAAATAATAAATAAAGCAATAATTTAAATTATGCGCGCGCGCGCGTCTTCTACATCATTGCCAGCTTGAAAATGGTCCTATGTAACAGTGTGCTGTTAGCGCTGCTCTGCCGAGTTAACAGCTCATGTGAGCTAACAGCGCCGACTGTTATCGATAGCAGCGGCCGTAGCGTCAGTCTGTTTTGGTTGTTCCGCATTCGCACACATACTCGCCTAATATGTAGAAAGCCAAAAACTGTATATAATATGTAATTTTCACACCAAGTGCAACTGTTTTTTAATTTTAATTTGTACTTAAGCACACCGTACTTACACGTTTTTCTATTTGTTTATTGTCGCGTTCTACGTGCTCGCTGTCCTTTGTGTGTCTCTCTCTCAATATATTACCTATATTTGGTTGTTTTCGTTGTTTTGTTTTGTGTTTTACTGTTGCTTTGTGTATTGGAATTCACGCAAAATGGATGCCCAGTTCTGGAAAATCGTTGCTGCCCTTTGCAGGCCTGATCGCTCAACATGTCTGTGTGGACGACAACCAGCTCAGCTGGCAATGGAGTAGAGTCCTCCAATAGCCAGACTCGTACGCCGCCAACGGTCAAATCGCTCAGCAGCGCTCAACGCAGCAGCTCAAATCCGACCAATTTTGGACAACCAATTGGCGCCGATATTTCCACGTCAGCCAACGCGCAGCATCATTTCCAGCACGTTGTCGCCGCAGCGGTAGCAGCTGCCACAACCATAGCCACCGGCCAGCACCACCAACACCAACAACAACAACAGCAACATCATCAGCAGCAACTGTTGCAGTTACAGCCCTTTCATAATCACAGTTTATACAATCAATTTGGCAGCAGCTCTGGCAGCAGCAGCAATAACGGCAACAACAACAATAATAACAACAACAACAACAACGCCTTCAGCTTTAAACGTTCCAGCATTAGCAACTCGGCACCACAGCTACCCGCTTCCAGTCAGAATTTCTCAAAGGTAAGTCTCCATAAAACAAATTCTACATTTCTACATCCAAAATCATGCCATAAAATGCAAAAAAATTACCAAAACTCCCGCGCGCTCTCGCTCTCTCTGTCTCGCCTCTTTCTTCTTATATCTTTTTCACGCTAATTGTGCCAAATCACCGAAACGAGCAATATCGAAACGAACGTGCGGTTCACGGTTGAATCTCCAGTCTAAACTCTAAACTTGGCCTCCGATTTCAAGTCGAACCAGATCCCACATGCGCATGTGCTTGTGCCTGTGTGTGTGTGTATGATTACGTACCGTAATATTGCACGCGGTTTATTATTTTTCATACACTTAGAGCTTGCTCATGACGTCATTGAATTTAGTTTGATATTTCTTATGCGCTCTCAGCAGCGGTATTAAGCGGGTATATTAGTGAGGAGGGAATACAAAGAGACCTGTGAGAGTTTTTAATTATTTAATATGAATTCAATACTCGAGCTTATTTTCTCACATTTACCTAAAAATATATCCATACAAATTCGATAATTAGTTTGCACCTAAGTTCATTTCATCAAAATTAAGGTCAGCTTTTCTATATTTACTACAGGGTATTGCGCAGTTAATACAACTCGCGCTGCCACCTGTGTGATCTTTTTTTGTTAACCCCTTTTCAATTCAATTCGCACCGCGTCTTAGTTTGTTTTTTCTTTTATCAAGTGTTTGCATACGATAAATAATTAAAATTAGGCACTTTATAGGGCCCACTCCCTGGAGGCCTGCACACAAGTATGAATGTATATTTATTTGTATACATGTATATATGAAATCTTATGCATATGTTTTTTTTATTAATTAGTTTTAAATGCCAACTGAAATGCGGCGTGGCTGTTTTTATAAAGCGATAAGGTCCATTATATTCCATCAAATGTTGCCCGGCTTTGCATGGCACGAAAAAAATAAACAATAGAAATTCAATTTCCGAAGGTAAAAACGTAATAGTATTATAAAATCGTTTTGATTTTGCCTGTTTTATGGATTTATTCAACCTTTTGCTCTAATTTATATGCATAAAAATTGTGCGCAGCCTTTGAAAATTGCATAAATTTCAATTTTGCATTGAATTGGGAATATATAATTTAGAATACATACTATTCATTTATATGCCGATTTTATAGGTTTATAGGTCAAGTTAGCCAAAGCAGGACGCAGAAACCAAAAAAAAAACATTAATTTTATTGCAAATTCTGAAATACATTTTTCTTAAAAAAAATTTTTTTGCGTTTCTAATTTTTAGGAATAAGTTTAAATATTATACAAATTTAAATATCTCAAGGTGATATTTTTTGTTTCTTTCAATAGTTAAAGGTGCCATTACAAGGACTTACTGTAGATTATTACAATTTTTTTACAGTTGTTTTAATTGGAGAATTGAGACGCTGTTTATACAATCATATTTTTCATTAACTGATAACGAAACAGGCAAAGGCACCTTACTGTTTTCCCCTTTTCATCATTTCAATTGAGTAAAACATCTATCAGCTGATACTGAAATTTTATTGTAAACAATTACAAGAATGTGAAAATCGAATAATAACACAGAATATATAATTCACAGATTAGTAAAAGCTCAAATTACATACTTATACCAAATCCATATAAATTCCAAAAAATTCCAGTGCTTGTGTCGATACCGAATTCCGCAGGAAATATGCCCTTTCGATTGGAAGCTGTGTTATTCCACTGCCTGTGTGAAACGGTTATTTTACTTTTCTTTCATTACACTTCCTTTGCCAAACTTACATAGCAAATTTGATCGGCTGGAAGTTCGAGAGCGAATCGGTTAGCTCGCTGTTGTTTATTGTCCCTAAATGACAATTTCCCTGTCATACGTCATTTCAATTCAAGAATTCCATTGCTGCATGCCATGGCCTCTCTATCTCTGCAGCATCTGCTGCTGCTGTTGCTGATGCTCCTCTGCTCAGTTGATTGTTGGGTCAGCTGAGTGGTCAAGCGGGCAGTGTCGAATTTATAATTGAATTTGTGGCCAATCAATTGCTCAATCACTGCACAGTTCAGGGTCAAGTCACGCCACCAAATGTTCATCATTTGATTTCCCCATTGAAGATCAACGGATGCGCTACAGGTAGGAATAGTGTACTGATTGACTGCCAAACAGTGAGAGAGAGCGAGAGAGTGGGTGAGTGAGCGATTGGGGAGCACCTCTATTATGTGCTATCTCTTTTCCTCCTTTCATTGCTATCTATTTGTTTAGCTTGTTTTCCGTTTTCTTTACACACACACACAGAGACAGAGACACCCGCTGTCAACGTTTTAGTTTCCTTCTGTTCGGTTTTAATTCAAATGGCATTTGTAATTCGATTGTCTATTGTTATATTGTTGTTGTTTTTGTCGTCGCAGGCCGCAACCGTCGTCGTCGTCGCCGCCGCCGTCGCTGTCGCCGCCGAATTGATTGTCGAATTTGAATATCACGCGCGCCGCCGTCGACAGTTCAGCAACCAACGCCAACGTCGCCGCATCAACGGCATCGTCGTCGTCGCCGTATCAGTTAGTTGTTAACTAGACGAAACGTTCTCGCGCGTTCGCACCAGCCAACCAACCACCCAACCACCCACCTGCACTTGTTCGCTCACCAACCGGTTCGCATGACAACCAAGAAACATACACGAGTGAGAGTGGGAGAAAGGGAAAAAGAGAGAGGCGCTTTAAGACTAAGCGACGATACAACAGCTGGGGAAAAAGGAAGACGAAGTGAAATGCAAAAATAAATGAATTAAATGTGTCGAACAGAGCCAAATTACTATTCAATTTATTATCGTGTAGCAGTTCGCCGTGAACTTGTCGCCGTGATTAATGCTGTACGAGCTAAAGATATCCAAGAATTACAAACGCATACACATACAGACGTAGAATGAAGACTTAAACGGTAAAACGGTAAAGCGTGTCTCCATTATAGCATCGTTGGCGAACGGAAACGGTTATCGGTTTTTGCCATCAATTTTGATACGTTTTGAATGTAGTCGCATATAAAAATACGTACGTGCCAAATTGTGTTTTATTGACACATGTATTTTGCAATTTTATATGCTATAAAATGTTTATAAATAAAAAGTAAATATTTAAATAACACGCACACACAAACACCTCTAAAAAGAGAAAGAAGGCGAACGGAACTCAAAGCGCAAAAAAAAGTCAACTACAAAATTTGCCAACAAACTGACAATTAAACCAAGTAGAAAAAATAGCACAGTTATGTGTATCAGTGTGTGTGGTGTATCTGTGTTTGAGTGTGTGTACTGATCAATTCTCATGTGCACTGAACACCATAATTAATCAACAACAACAATAAAACGCTATCAGCATCGTCATCAATAGTCAGCATCGGCATCGGCATCGGCATCAGCGAACCAACCAACTGAAACGAATAACCAGACACCGTCTGAGAGCAGTTCGAAGTGTGCGCTAAGAGCGAAAGTTTTCTTTCTAAAGGAATTTAACATTTCCAGTCTATGCTCGCTCTCTCTTTTGCTACTTTGCTTCGCTCATTCTCGTATGCTGTTTAAAAGTGTTTTTCTTGTTAAAGTATTTGGCAAAATCAACACACTTGAAATTTTACAGAAATATAAAAATTAAAAAATTAAAACCCAAGAAAAATAGCTTATAACACATACACATAGGTCTGTGAATGAGGAGAGAGCACTTTACAAAAACTAACTGCACATGCGTTCCGACTGTGACGAGGTGCCGCTGAAACCGCCGCGACGCCAAAAGCTTCAGCTTGAACTGCCGCTGCCCGAACAACAGCAACAGGATAAAGAGAGAGAGTGCAAGAAGCGAACGCGTGACCCCGTTAAGCGTGCTGAGAGCGAACAGCTGTTGCCGCTCAATCCGAAGAGCATGTACTCTAACCTACGCTATGCCCGTACAAATCTCAGCCATAGCAGCCTGCTGCTTAATCATCAGCAGAGCTCGTTCGATGGCAGCGCGCCCACTTCGACTGAGCGCACAGAGAGCAGCGAGACTTTAGACACACCGTTAACCCGGGACACGGAGAGAGAGGATGTCAGACAACCGTTGGCCTCTGTTCGCCTTCTGCCCTGTGCGGCGAATCGGAATGAATCGAAACGCTTTGCGCTGGCAAGTGCATTGCATGCGACAGCCCGGTTGGCAGCCAGTGTGGATGCCTATACAGCAGCAGCGACAGCGACGGCGTCGGCGACTGCTGGCAGCCACTGTCATAGCGGAGACTACAGCATGTGCGACTCGTGTCGGCCGCAGCGATTTAATGCCCAGCAGCAGCAGGCGCTGAACAGCAACAATTTCGGTCGTAACGCCCACTCGGCGCGCTTTCTCAACTATAGCAATTTGCATTCAACGAATTCGCCGCACGCGAGCTCGCGTCGCTTCAACGCGCATCTAACATCCCAGTCGCCGCTGCCGCTGCAGCCGCCGCCTCCGCCGCTGCCGTTTCCATTGCCAGGTTCAGGGCCAGCCGCTTCCATAGTACAGTCCTCGTCCAGTGCCTATCCATATCAGTTGCGCACATATCAACAGCATAAATTCTCTCGATTTCAGCCTCGCCGCATCACCCGCAGCAGCATGTCGCAGTCCGGCGAAGATCTGCACTCCCCCACCTATCTGTCCTGGCGCAAGCTGCAGTTGAGCCGGGCCAAGCTGAAGGCCAGCAGTAAGACTTCCGCTCTATTATCCGGCTTTGCTATGGTAAGTCTTTCGTTCTATTGAACTAGTTCAATTTGCTTTCAACTTATTTATTATCTAATTAGAATCTGTTTTGTTTAATAAATATCAAAATTAGTTGCTTTCTCTATTTGTGTTAAAATAATGGCGCAACTACCCTACCGTATTACCTATAGCCCAGAAATTACCCAAATGGGTATTATGAGTTAGATATATAGCTAACAGATTCAGCTGCCAGTTCTAATTATAGTAATTATAGCTGATCAGCTTAACTTTGTATTTTATGTTTACCTTTGAGTTATGAAAGTTTACGCACAGCTAAAAAACTCTCATCAATATCTCTTTATATATATGTATATATAAATGGTATTTATTTTGAGTTTCGATATAAATCTATGACTGGCTTAATATTTTTGATCAATGGAAAGTCCAAAGTTCATTATATTTTATATATTTACACAAAATTTTTATATATAAATTTATATGAGTTCGTAGTTAATATTTGTTATATATCTCATATATATTATATATATACTCATGCTTTTTATCAGCATGCTATATTTATAATTTAGTTGAGACTATTTTATTGGGGTTATCCCCTCACAATTCCAGATACTTCCGAAACAAGTCTCGTAAATATCACCATAATAAATTATATAGTCACATACATAAATAAATAAAAATATCTTCCAACTAATACATATACAAATAAATAGAAAGCAATTCTTCTAGCCGTAACTTTAAAAAGAATAAAAGTATCACAGTATCATATCATATAGTAATAGTCAAACGACCTTAAAAAAGTATAGGGTATTTGCCAGTCGCATACTGCTTAGCTAATTAATAAATGTTTGCATACCAGAAGCAAATAGAGGGCAGACAGACGAGGATAATCGCATAAATTGGCCGCATATGCAGCATATTGAATATGTGTAATATATGTGCTTATATATAATATATAGCTAGCCCAATCTGTTGCCAAAATGTGAACAAGAGTTGGCTAATAATATAAATAACATGCACAATAAATCGAGCCCAGCAGGTAGTCTACCAGTTCTCTCACTTTCTCTCTCTCTCTGTCGTTTGCTCTTTACAGGTGGCCATGGTGGAGGTGCAGCTGGACAAGGACACAGGTGTACCGCCTGGCATGTTGGTTGCCTTTGCTATCTGCACTACGCTGCTGGTGGCTGTGCACATGTTGGCTCTGATGATCAGCACATGCATCCTGCCCAACATTGAGACAGTTTGCAATCTGCACAGCATCACGTTGGTGCACGAGTCGCCGCACGAGCGTCTCCACTGGTACATTGAGACAGCCTGGGCGTTTTCCACGCTGCTAGGCTTGATACTGTTTCTCGTGGAGATCGCGATACTGTGCTGGGTGAAGTTCTACGATCTGAGCACCACGGCTGCCTGGTCGGCCGTGGTGGTGCTGATACCCGTTATGGTTATCTTCCTGGCCTTTGCCGTGCACTTCTATCGGTCGCTGGTAACGCACAAATACGAGGTGACCGTCTCCGGCATACGAGAGTTGGAGCTGCTCAAGGAGCAAATGGAGCAGGATCATCTCGAGGTGCACAACAATTCGCGCAACAATGGCTTCAACTATGGCGCCTCCGGTGATATTGTGTAGTTGGCGCTCTCAGACACACGACAATGCTTCCCAACAAAACAAACAAGAAAATAAGAAAAACTTTTGTAAAAGACATACATACACACAGACACATATATATACATATATATATATATATATATATTAGCCCGGCAATAGGGCCCAAGTGTAAAACTTTAGACTACATGCAAAATATTCAGAATTGTGAATTTGTAGCTAATGCAAATTGTGATACGCATAAGGCAATATACTATGTTATTCTAATTTTTTTTTTTTTGATATATATATAACTATACAGTACGACATATATACATACATATATATAAAGTATATGTACGATCGAAGTGCTTGCAGTCTATGCATGTAGTTATATGGTATAAGCCTCTATTATCAGGCGAATGTCTTAGCGTTAGTTCGCTGTAATTTATACATAACATATACTTAATTAAAGCTCTTACTTTACTAGACAATAGAGAGAAAACAAACCCCAAACCTCAACTTAAAACGCTTTTTATTAGCCCAACCTGCTTGCCCTTCGTTGCCGTTCGAGCTTGGTTAAGTTTGCGTGTCAGCCATTGGCCTCCATTCCAGCTAATCTATTGTGGCAAGGCACAAGACATGTTAGCAGCTTGATTAGAATAGGGCGCTCCATACACAACGGAACGCACCTCCAGCACCACCCATCCACCCATCGTGACACCCGCTGGCGACTGGCACCGCGGCAGATGACAAATCGAACATCGCCCCCAGCACCAACTGCCGCTCGACAGTTGCCAGCAACATGTCGAGCCGTGCAAATGGCAGCAACAGTGTTGTCAGATGCCTGCGCTACACCACCGGCGGTGGCTACTACCAGGGCATGTGGTTGCATGGCCAGCATCATGGCTACGGCGTCAAGGCCAGCGGACGTGGACTCATCTATGAGGGTCAATGGAGGCGCGGTCAGCGTCATGGCTACGGCACGCTACGACGTCTGTTCGAGAATGGGCACGCCCAACGCCTCTATGTGGGTCAGTGGGCAGCGAATGTGCGCAGCGGCGAGGGCAAGCAGTACTACGACGACGGCTCCGTCTACTATGGCCACTGGCTGGACAACGAGCGGAGCGGACGCGGCATATTGTGGCATGCAGATGGACGCATCTATGTGGGCGAGTGGCTAAAGGATGTCATGCACGGCCGTGGCGTACTCTACGCAGGTGAGTTAAAAGCGAGGAGCGAAAGAGAAGACAACTTGAGCAAACTGCTTTCGAGACTCTCGCTCAAGCCACAACTGCTTCACTACGCTTCCCGCCTACTCGTGCCTTTTCTCACTCTGCACATTCTTTTCACAGCCAATGGCAATCGTTATGTGGGTGAATTCGCTGGCGGATGCAAATCCGGCATTGGCGTCTACTATCACCAAAGCAGCGAGGGTCAAAGCGTGCAACAGCACGGCCTCTGGAGCGATAACATTTGCACAGCTTCGCTGATGCCACTGAGGAACCCAACAAGTTCAACTAAGCCGAGTCTTTGAGTGAAACATTTATATAATAGAAAAGGTTGCTGATAAATAATAATTGTGCTAACGTGTCGAGAGCATATATCTAAGCTAAGCGTAATCAGTTCCTTTGGCGACGTCTGCTGCTCAGCGACTCGGCTGCTGGTTGCTGTTCCGTTGTTGTCCGCTGGCGTCTGGTGCGTGCACGTGTGCTGGGCGTCTTCTCCTCCGGCGTGACATTGCGCCTCGTTACAGGCGCCGTTGCAGTGCGTTTTAGCGGCGCCGTCACCTGCAGCTGCGAACGCGTTCGAGTGCTGCGTAAAGATTTGGTGGGCTTCAGCTTTGCCACCTGCTCCGTTTCATTGTCGCTCAGATCCAGGATCTCAATAAGCTGGCAGGCATTCAAATCCAGACGCTTGCCAGACTGTCGCTCCGGACTGCTGCCCATGTCACTGGAGCTGCCGCCGCCGCCGCTGCTGCTGTTGCTGCTGCTGCTACTACTAATTATGTGCACTTCCTCCGTATATATGGCAAATTTAGCCGGCTTCTTGCTAGACTTGAGGGCTGTCTTGCTCGACGACTTCGGTTTCTCTTCCGGCGATATGTTGAAGGTCAGCGCACGCCTAGGGTTTTGTGGCCGCGGCACGGGCAGCAGTTCGAGGCGTGCTGCACTCAGCTGCAGCAACAGATTGTAGCGATAGTTGATGTCCACACGCTGCTGCAGCTGCTCGCTGCTTGCCAGCTTCAGCGCGGTTTCAGTCAGCTCAATGGCCTGTTGCTGCCGCTGCTTGGCACGCAGATAGTTAGCCTGGTACATGTGCAGCACGAGCAGCATGTGTCCCAAGGCATTGCCGCGTGCCGCATTCTGTTTCAACCAATGATTGGTCAGCGCATAGAAATCATCCAGCTCTTCGTGCTCTCGATTCAGAAAGCACAAGCGAGCATAGAGACAGCCGACAATAAAGTAGATGCACTGCAGCTGCACGCTGGACCGCAAGATTGGATGCGACTGTTGCATGTCTAGCAGGACAAAACGCTGAAGCTTTAGCCTATTGCTGCGGGGCTGCAATTCCTAGGGAAGAGAGAGAAGTTGAGAGAGGACCTTCTTTAGTTTGAGGAACTTACTTGTCGCGGCGAAGACACATTGAACTGTTGCTGCTTTCGTATGGGCTCCACGCTGACCTGCTCCAGCTGCATGGTTAACATCTTGCCAACTAGCTCAGTCATGTGCTTGGACTGCGCATCCATGGGAGCAGCGGGCAGCAGTTGCTTGCGCTGTTCCAGCGCGGCCATCGACTCGAGCAGCGGCTGTATACATAGAAAGTGTTCGATCAGACGCAGCTTGGAGTGCGCTTTGTCCAGGCACTCCATGCGCAAATTGGTCCACAGCCAGGAGATGAGCACCTCGACAGCACGCAGCACCAAACCGCTCTGGAGCAGCACCTGCAGCAGACTATTCGAGAAATTGGGTCGTTCACTCAATCGATTCGCTGTGCATTCCGTTGTATCGCGCACCATGTCGCCGAGCAGCAAGATCAAAGCACCGTTGTCCATGGACGAGATGCTGGTGAAGCTGCGCACAGCCTCAGCCAAGGTATCCAGTTGTTGCAGCGCCGTTGGCAGGCGGCCGAGCAGGCGACACTGGCGCTGCTGATAGCACATGCGAAAGCGAACCGTTTGTATGGTCAACTGGACGATGTCGCACTTGCCTGCTCGCTCCTCAAACTCCACACGCAGCCGCTCCGCATGCAGCAGCAGCAGCTGAGCATGGCAAATGCAGTCGAGACGCGCGTAGTACAACGCCAAGTGACACAAGCAGAGCAACAGCGTCGTATGATGGCGTTTCAGCAGGTGTGGGGCATGCAGCTGCGGCCACAGCTCATCGAGCAGCTGCTCTGCATAGGAAACCTCCGTCTCCAGCTCGAGCAGCGCATGCTGTGTGTAGCGCGGCAAAAAGTGGCTAAGCGCGCGCAAATAGTTGAATCTATCGCCCAGCAGACGACTAATGCGCATTAACAGCAGCCACGCCTTGTCCGCTTGCTTCGTATAGCCCATGGTAGACAACGCCATGGCGGCCACAATTGCATCATCAATCAGCGCCTCCCAGTCGATGAGCGCCTCGTCACTGCTCAAGGGCACGGCGTCAGCCTGAAAGGGAAGATCAGAGTTTATCAACTTTTCTACAATAAATCAACTACATTCTCCTTCTCCAGTTGCCGAGTCTCTCACCTGCTCAAAGAAGCTGGCGAAAGCTTCCGTAGCCGCTGTGGCCAGTTCCACGAGTGGCATTTCGCTGCTTATATTAAGTTCCAATAGATTATATTTGATGAGCAGCTCTTCGAGTGCCTTCTCCGTTGTCTCCTTGATGGGTATTTTGGTCTTTTGAGCCTCGAGCGCCTCCAGGAGCTTGGTGACGCTCGCATGACCCAGAATAAGCTGCTGCAGCCGCGTCAGCTGCTTTTTACGTTTCAGCTTAATGCGCAGCTCTTCAAATTGCTGGCCAATAATCTTGTCTGATCGCAGGTGCCGAGAGATGAGCATCTTTTGGTAATCTGTTTGGCAGTGCCGCAGCAGCGACTGCAACAGCTGCGGCGTCTTCTTATTAGCCAGCACCGCTAAGATGTCCATTTCAAGTAGTTGTCGCCGCTCATCGGGCTCCAAAGGATTGCACAGCGTGCCCTTCGCATGCAGCTCAAGCAGACATTGATCTGTCTCATTTTTCGAAGTGCGATAGTAGATGCACAGCTGTTGAAATTGTCGCGAGGGACAGTTTAAGCTAGTGATGTAGGCGCAGTGCAGCCGCGCTGCCAGCTCCGGATGGGAGCAGTGGGCGCTGGACTTATAGATGCGACGTATTAACTGCTTTGCGTATGGCGGACTTAAGAGCGGTCGCAGCTGCTGCAATGGGTTCAGCAACAGCTCCAGCAGGCACATCTGTTCAGATGAATTAACCTTCTCCGCTATGTTAATCAAGTGCCAGGCAAAGAAGACCAACTCACTGTTGTTGGGCGTCAGACATTTGGTCACCTTGGCCACATCGATTGCATAGTGTATAATGCCGGCCAAACACTGCTGAGAGAGCTAAAAGGGAGGATCATAGGAATTACTAAGAGTAGATAATATAGTTAATCTATTAAGTTTACCTTTGGCAGCGTTGCCTGTGACTGCCAGTTGCTGTAGGCAAAGGTGGCACAGCAGCCCAGGCTAAAGACGCAATGTTTGCGCAGGCTCTGGCAGCTGGCATCGTTGCTGCTGCAGCTGGGAGCCAAGGAGCTGCTGTTGCTGCCAGTCAACTTCATGATCATGTTAATGAGGCACTGCAGCAGCTCAAAGTGAGCGGCATACGCCTCCGAGCTGTCCAAGCAATGCCAGAAATTGTCGAACGAGGGCAGTTTCTGATCAACTTGATGCAGTTGTTTCTGCAGGCGCACGAATACCAACAGAAAGTCCACGTACCAATGCTCGTCGGCATATGGCAACGCCTTCTGCTCGAAGAAGTTCACGAATTTCTTGACCAGATCGATGTAGGGACGCTTCACGTCCGCAGCTGGCGAGGATTGACGTGTGTTTAGGAGCTTGAGGTAGTAGTAAAGCAAAGAGAGCGCATAATTCTGATTGGTTTCAGCTTTGTACAGCTCACGGCAGCCACGCAGCAGCTGCAACGCCCAAGGCTGAGCCTGCCGCTGTTCATCCAGTTGCCACGCGCTGTCGTCCAGATAGAGAAGAGCGAGCAGCGCACTCAAATACTCTGGAAACTGGGCATTTAATTGCTTTGAGCTGCCAATATTACAGGCTATGAGCTGGCAAAGTGGCTCGCACATGCTGTTAAAATCAGCCACAGGAAGACTGGCCAGAATTTTGATGTAGCCAATGCTGCGCTTGCCCAAGAGCTGATTCAATTCCACAATTACTTCGCTGTATCCATCCGTTTGCTGCGCCCGCTGCAGCTGAAGCATTTGCTGCATCAGCTTGCCCAGTGCCTGTAGAGCTTCGCTGAGTTGATTTCTTATCTTAGGATCCGTTTGCCTGCCCATTTGATGCCCAAAGTAATATAAATGCTTGACATGAATGCCCATATAATATTTATACTCCGTTCTGTTTTGCATTTGACAGCGCTGAGCATTGATCAGTGCATAGAATCTTTGACACTGCTTCACAGTTTGCTAAAGTAAATATAGTTATAGATTGATTTAGGAATAATCGAATTTCTTACCTCTCTGCAGAGTGAATGATGTATATATTGCAGGCTGATCAGATGATTGGTCCAGTAATCAGGCTGTGCCTCTTGTGGCGACACATGTGGCAGCATGCTGGCCGCAATGTCGCAATAGATGTCCGCATGCTGATGAAAATTCTCTTGCAGCGCACAGCACAAATGTCGTAATATATTTAATTCGTATTTGAGCGTATGCAAAGCGACGCTTGACGTCCCGCCATTTCTTATTTGTTCAAATTGTGCATAAATGGTCTTGGCAGCCGCTTTCACCTCTAGCCGTGTGCCGCGTAGCTGCGTTTTCAATTCATCGCGCGGCATTCTTACATTTAAATTGCACTTTTAAATGTAATTAAAATATAATCTTTTTTTATATTCGTCGTTTGCTCGTTCGTTAAGATATTTGTATATGTCGCCGATAAATTCAGTTAAGTTATCGACAGCAACGCTACGGCTCTGCATTAAATGTCAGTGTTGAACAATTTGCCAAGCACGCTACACTGAACTGTAACAAACCGCGCGGGCATTGAAAAATGCTGAAATATTTGTGTGAGTAAATTATTAATTATTAAAGTAATTTAGAGTAACTTATATGCCTGCATAAGTCAATTATGTATGTCAATAGACCAATGCAAGGTAAAGGCTTAAGTTCATGGGAAAGGTATGTTAAATACGATTTATGCTGCACATTTTTGGCCTTAATGGCTTTGGCTATATCAGACTTTAGTCGCAGGCAGCAAGTGTAACACATACACACACTCATGATACTTATGGCTTACCTTATTTGGCAACATATCGCTGTAATAAATATGTATATCTTCGGGGGGCAGGCGGCCACACGTTCAACTCACAAATTCTCCAAAGTCGGAAGTCACGTTTAAACGTTTTCGCTAAAAGTTTCACACACACAGTCCAGGGACTCTCTTGATGATTGATGAGCCACACAGAGACGCACACACGTGTGTTTGCGTGTAGAACATGTATATGGTCATTAGTGTGGCATTGTGTTTATCTTCCAGTTACTTTTACACACACACAGTCAAACATTGTTGATAATTTGGGCATGGTTTTTAGCTTAATTAAGATGAAGTAAACACAAGAGACTCAACTGGAGTCGACAGTCAAAGTTGGTTCAAGCGTCAATTGCAAGTCTCAGATGACGGCTGTGAACACTTGACATATATTATTATGATTGCTGAAATACCCTTTGCGCTCTAGCAATGGGGTAAATGGGTGTTTGCTTAAGAAGGACTCTTAGCTGCTAAGAGCTCATAAAGTGTTTAGATGTTTGGATCTGATTTCAACTTTTTTTCTATAATTAAGCGAATGCGCTACTGTGCAATTTTTGTTAATGTATGCTTTATATTGTTTAACTTTTAATGTGATATATCATTTGATAGTAATCTATTTCTTCTATTTTTAATTCCTCATTCGTATAAATTGCTTTCTCGTGTACTCACTTTCCCCTTTCCTTCCTACTCTCACTACTTCGCGTTCTCTGTCTTTCTCACTCCTATCATTAACAGCTATTCTCTTTCACTCCTTCTTGGCCTCTCGCACTTCTCCTTCTCTCTCTTTTCTCTTGCAATCCGGTTCGCTGTCGCTCTCTCTATTTATCTTTCTGCCTACTTCATTCACTCTCAATATTTCTCCCAGTCACTCTCAGCTTATTGTGCTCTCTGTTTCTCTATTTCTTTCTTTCTACCCACCTCCCTCCCTCCCCCTATATCTATGCCAGTCCCATTCTTTCTCTCTCTGCCTCTCTTGTTTGTCTTACTCTCTTCCTTTCATTCCCTCTCAATACCTTAATCGCATTTTCATTGCACTGTAGAGTATTCGTTAGTCGAACAGCTTTTCACTTGTGCACTGTTCTCACTCGTATTACTATTATTTATATCAATATTAACTATTTAGCTTATTGAGTTATGATATGCCAAAAATTCCTAACAACATGGCTTAGAATTTATGGCAAGTCATCGAGCTTTGGCAAAGTTTACTTAACTCAACGCCTGAAATGCCAAATGTGTGTATGTCTGACTCGCTCTCTCCCCCTCTCTCGCTCTCTCTCTATCTCTGTCCTTTGCTGTTCTCCAGTTTCAGTTCTCGAGTTGATTTAGTTGCGTAAATATTTAGACAAGATTTTTCTGTCTTGTGGTCAGGCGCTGTTTGTTTTGATTCCGATTTAACAACGGTTTTTTCCCCTTTTTCTATTTGACTCAACTTTAAATATTCAAAATTGTGCAAATTCATTGGAAAAATGAATGAATCTAGCTTTTTGTCTGCCCGTATGTCTGCCTGTCTGTGTGCTTGTCTGTCTATCTGTCAGCTGTCAATATTTGTTGAAGTCAATTCCAAATTTATCCAAAAGTTGCGCATAGACAAAAAGCTGCCAAAATCAACAATGAAAAAACCAAATAAAATTCCCAAATGCACTCACAAATTTCCCTATCTTCTTCTCCTTCCCCGCTCTCAGTGTGAATTGTATTTTAATGATGTGCAAACAGGTGGACAGCCGGACAGACATTGCATAGACAATTTATTCGAGCAGGTAGACAATTCGTTTTGGGCAGTCAATTAAAATTGTTGACGCTATTGGAACTTTTCATGCGGCTCTATAATTAAATTAGGCGCTGCGCTAATTTAAATACATCTAATTTGTCTGCAGTTGTGTTACCTGTTCAGCTTGCTCTTGCCCTGACTCTCTGACAGGCAACAAGGATTTATTGGCTTTCGCCGGAGCCTGCCCAAACAAGTGCAAAACTCAACTTAATTAATTTCACAGCTCAAGTGAAAAGGAAAATGCCGGAGAGTCCGCTTGTGGGAGTGGGGCGGATGTGCCTCAGAGCTAGCCAAGGATATGTCAGCGGTTCAAGCAGTAGAAAGACATTTCCATGGGCGTGTAACGAGACGTTAATTAATTATAAGGTTGACATGAATCATATATACATAAAAATATATATGTTTATGTATATCTGAGACAAATATATATAATATTTGTGTACAAACCATGTCAAAGAGTAGAAGAAGTCAGATGATACTTGATGTGATATGATTATCACTTGATATGATTCTAAAAGCAATTTCTGCAACAGATCTTGTATCTGTGATAAAGCCAGCTGGCCTTATAAACTATACTCTCAGTTTATCAAAGTAAAGGGACTTAAAAGATATGTTATTTATTTATTTTTTTCCATGGAAAATCCAAAAAAAATTTTTTTTTTAATTTGACTCAAATTTTAAATTCAATTTTCTTTAAAAAAAAATAAAATTAGTAATATATTTTAAATAAATAAATTTATTTTTAATCAGTACACTTAAGATATATTTTATATATAAAGATATATAAATATGTATATTTAGATGTATATATGTATATATATAATATATAACTCCTCTCAGTTTAAGCTTCATCGAATCTTGGCTAAGACTTTTGCAGCTTCCAGTTACAGCAGCTGCTGTGACTTTTCTTTTCTGACACATTTCACAATTTCCCATTTCCCCCGCATTGACTTGTCACAAACTTGACCAAGCCGCATTTACGCCCGCGACATAAGCCGTTCTTGCGGCGCCAGACTGAAATCTCAGTTCATTTGAGTTTTTTTATCTTTCTGTCATTTTCGCTGCTCAAATTGAACTCGCGAAAAAAGTTGCGCGCTTGGGAAGCATGTGGAAAATGCTGTCGCTTGTAAATTGTTTTTTGGCATGCGTCGAATGCGGGTGCAGCGGGGTCGAAGCTGCAGATGGAAGACAGCATTAATTTATGTGCTGCATGCCGCGCAGCTGCCGTTGCAAGTGCAACGCTAAAGGGCAGAGGCTGCCGTTAACGAGTTCATTATGGCCCACAGTGAGCGCCCCTTCTCCCATTAGGGACTACCCTACATGCCACTTGCCGCATGCCGCATGCCACTTGTGCGACTCATGCTATCTGGTGGCATTTAATTAAAATAGTTTGACTAACGCTCACTTTGCTGACTAACTTGTTTTTATGGCCGGCCTTAACGGTACTCGGCAAATGCATTCATAAACATAAACAAAAACCAAAAACCAAAAGCATAAAACTTTTCGAGTGTCAGAATTATGTGGAGCCTCAAGTTCTTTTGTTCATTGAATACCCTATAAATTTGACACGAGCGGGTCGGCTGATTGACATGAGAGAATAAGAATTTAAGATATTTTATTTATTTATTTAATAAGAGTTGTTTTGAATAAATCTAAAAAATTATACAAATGCGTTAAAAAAGATTATTAAAAAAAAGTAAAAAGAAATAATAAATATAAATATGTTGTAAATATAAATATAAATTTTTTATATATATTGAAGAGAAATTGTCAGAATTTTTTATTTTTGGCATAATTTTTGTTTAATAAAATTAAAAAAAATGCATAATAAATGAAGAAGAAAAAATAAATAAATATGAAAATGTATGAAAAATAATTTCAAATAATAATTTATTTGCCATTAATTTTTTTTTATTAATTTTTTACTTATATAATAATAATTGCTTCGCTTAGCGTATTCAATCTTCGATCCCTTCTCTCTTGCTGTTTGCTTTTACTCTGCTCATTCTTGGGGTCGCCTGGGTGGGGTCTTAATGACCTTACGTAAACGTCACAATAAACCCGCCACGCCCTGCTCCGCCCACATTCACATCTGAAAATCGCGCCATGAGTCATTTGGCAGCCAGTTGGAAGCTGTTGCCACAAAATTTGAGCTGATTATCTCTGCCAATGGCCCAAGTCAATGGCCAAAACTTTAGTTGGCTAAGAAGCAGTATAAGAGATAAGTATTTTCATTTATACTAATTGACATATTTTAATATTTTATATTTTAATCTTAATCTGTGGCATTATCTTCTTCAATATTTATATTGTTTTTATTTCTTTGACTTTATTACTTATTTCTTAAGACTTCAACTGTATGTCTTATACTTTATACCTTTTATACCTTATACCTTATACGTTATACCTTATACTTTATACGTTATACCTTATACCTTCAAGTTCTACCTTAACTCTTATACTGCTGTTATACTTGTCTCTATATTCATACTTATACACACATTTGCACTTATACTCAAGCTTATATCGATACTTTTACCCTCATACATACTTATATTTAGACCAGTTTTACCATATTTGCTTAACGTTTAACATTTTGCTATAATTTCTCTATATCTTTGACTTATTTTTATATTTATATCGGCTCAGTTTTGTATCCGTTTCCTGTTATACATTTTTTTTGTTTTGGCCACTTTCGTCTCGCTTTCGAATTGCATTTAAAACCAATTATCAAATCATGTCGCTGCCGGCTGACAAACTCATTTATTTTGCTTACACCGCTTAAAGCTGCTTGACGTGGGGCTTATGCACACAGACATACACACATTGTAACACACACACACTAATACTCTACTCACTAGTCAAGTCCAAG